TTGGTATTGGTATTTTTGAGCTGTAAAACCACCTGTAATTTAATAAACTTTAAGTAGAGCTATTTAATGCCATACTGTGGAACATTCCAGGCAGGAAGTGACATATCCAGAGAAACAAGCAGGAGACAAACCCTCCAACAGAAAAGTCACAAAATGCACCTTTAAATGTATTGAATTACAGGTGGGTTAAGGTATTCTGATTGTGAGCAGGGTTGCCTCTCCACAGATCTGACCTATAACTTGGTCTGGTTTGATCTCCATGAAGATAAAAAGGTTTTATGCCATACAGTGAAGCATTCCAGACAAAGCAATAACATCTCCATGGAGAAAAGGATTTGACAGACCCTCCACCAGAAAAGTTACACAATGCACCTTTAATATCACACTTTGTAATCTTTCAGGAAGAGCAATGACATCGCCAGAGAAACAAGCAGGTTTAGTACCCCCAACCAAAAAGTTACACAGTGCACCTTTAAGCTGGCATTAACCTGAAGCGGGAAAGACAACGAGGCCAAGTTAAATACTGGTCAAATGTAAATAGTGGGTTTTTCTCTCCCCACCGGCCAGGATTGGGTCAGGTTAGTTTGAAGTTCTGTGGGCCAAACTCGCCAGAACAGGCTGAGATAACCACCCCAGCCTCAGAGAAGCAGCACCTGTTTGTGTTTCCAGGTTCAAGGACACAAAGTTTACCTCAGCGGCTTAGCTCTGGCCCCCAACCAGTTCAATCCAGATGAGACAGAGCGGCAGTTAAAGGTGGATTAAACCCAGTCTTCCTGATCAACTCTTATCACTACAAAAGACTTCTGCATTTTTTCTACATTCATCTCTACATCACTGCATTTTAAATATTTACCCTTAGACAGTGCTGATTATTTTAAAAAGGTCTTATATTACACAGACTTGACTCTTGTGAGCTTTAAGCTGTGTTAGAATGTTGTTACCTCCTCAAAAGCATACCCTGAGTTGTGTTTTGTTTCATTTACATGTTTGAGTAACACTGCATTATTCGTCTCTCTACATCTCCAAAGCTCAAGATGCTCTGTTCCACCTTGTGATGACATGACGCTGTAGTTTTAAATTAACAGCTCCTTTTACCTTTAGCTCAGTAGATGCTGTCAATTCCAGGGCTTAAAATGATCCAGATATTTCTAGTAAAGCTGTATGAAGTTTAAAAACACAATGGAGCACTTCATGTATTACCATATGACATCACAAGAACTCAGCCAAATATGCAGGGTTTGTGTGTTAAACACTGGTGAATTAAATAAAAAACACAATTCCAAGTATGTTTGTGATGAGGATACAACATTAAAACGTGAAAAAAAGTGTAATTTAGGCCCTTTAATTGACTGCAAAAAAATGTGGAGCTATTGATAGTAGTGTAGCAGCAAAGCAGACAGAGAGGTCCCTGTGCTGCGTTGTCCTATATAACTCTATGTACACATGTATTTAAATGTTACATCACATGTTTACCAAGACATCTAGTATTTATAATAATTAGACATTCCTGATAACAGTACAGATACTATACACTTACACTTACGTCCAATTATCTGTGTCAGGTTTTTAGTGTGCGTGCTGTCAGCTAGGCCTGTACGTAACAGGTTTAATATTTAACTGTTGACACATTTTGAAAACTACTGAACTGTTCTTAGGAAATGATTTATTTTTTTCTCTTGAAAATATCGACAAATTAAAAGTACCTAGATTATATGAAAATCTGTGAAGTTACCAAGTAGCCCTTAACAAATACCAGCTCTATATACATTTTATATTTTACATTTTTGCGAACATGCATCATTGTTAAGAACTACTTCTTTTGACACATTTAAAGGTGCATTGTGTAACTTTTCTGGTGGAGGGTCCACTACTTCATTTTCTCCATGGAAATGTTATTGCTTTGTTTGAAATATTTCATGGAGACCAAACAAGGCCATTTTACTGGTCAGATCTGTGGAGAAGTGACCCCGCTCACAGTCAAAATGCCTGCTTTTCGAGGTAGTTTTGAGCTATAAAACGATCTGTAATTGAATAAATGTAAGGTAGAGCTGTTTAATGTCATAACCATAGAAACAAGCAGGTGACAGACGTCCAACCAAAAAGTTAGACATGGCAAAACAAAACAAAAACAAAATAATGTAAACATTTTGACAGTTACAGTAAGAAACTGTGTGTTCTAGACTTTCTTAAATTGCTGATACGTAGTTACCTCACTTTGCTTCACCAGTCTCTCTTATTGCCTGGGCAGACAGAAGGATCTGAGGTGTTGCTTTGATCAGCCAATGGGAGAGAGGAATGGCACTGGGAGGGAGGTGGGGCGGAGATGCTGATCTCTGATTGGCTCTTAGTTCTACACACACACACCCCAAAACAAAAACATAGTAAAGCGTTGTAGGCATCTGCTTGTTTGTATATATGTATGATCAAATGGCAGTTTCAAAATAGTACACATTTCTTACTATTTTTGCTACTTATTTTGAATTTATTATTAAAGATGCATTGTGTAACTTTTCTGGTGGAGGGTCCGCCAAATGCTTTTCTTCATGGAGATGTTACTGCTTTGTCTGGAATGTTTCACAGTATGGCTTTAAACCTTTCTATCTTCATGGAGACAACAGGACCAAATCACAGGTTAGACCTTTTGGAGTGGCGACCCCGTTCACACAGAATGCCTTATATTTTTGAGCTATAAAACCACTTGTAATTGAATAAATTTTAGGTGTAAAGTGTTTACATACTGAGGAACATTCCAAGTAGAGCAATGACATCTCCACAGAAACAAGCAGGTGACAGATCCTCCACCAGAAAAGTTACACAATGCACCTTTAACAATTATATTTTTGCTCTTTGTATTAATTATTATATTGTGATGTGTGAGCTACTGCATCCAAATAATTTTCCTTGTGGATCAATAAAGTTTGTCTAAGTCTAAGTCTAAACCATAGGGAGCTTTTAGGACAATCATGAGTGGTTTGTATATCAGAAATAAGTACAGATTTTTAGATAACCTAAGGGGAGTTACCATAAACTGTATAAAGAAGTAGACTGACTAGTGTGATGTCATAGCATGTGGCTCCAGTCAAATGAAGCTCACTGAGGCCACAGTGACAAGAGCGAATAAAAACACCTGGATCATGTACAGCGAGTCAATATGAAAATTTTAAGACAAATTGACGAGGCTCACAGCACCAGTTACAGAGAGAGGGGTGATTTAATTCCAGTGTAAAGTCAATAAGAAAAGATGGAGATGACTTCCTATTTGGAATGTAGCGGCTAGCGGGTTAGCTATGTGTATTTACTAGTATATACAGTATGCAGTCTGCGGGAGCAACGTACCATAGATGGTCACTCTGCAGATTTCAGGTCTTCAGCACATTTCTCTGTGAAGCAGCTGTAAAGAAATCAAACATCAAATCAATACACTATCAGAGACAAGAATGTGAATCTTCTGAACGCTGAGGTCAATACTCAATGACAAAGGGTCAGCTGGTAGTGGTCAGGGATGGAACGAAGTAAAAGTAGTACTGTACTCTAAGTCTACATTTTAGGTATCTGTACATTTTAAAGTAATACATTTGAGAGCAAGTATCTGAGACTGAGGGTTTATTTTTCAAACATTCATAATTTGAGCAAACAGAAATATACAAATAAAAACAGCTACAAGAAAAACAACAATTAATTCAGTTGTTTCTACTGAACAAAATTCAGCATAAATATTTACTAAAATCAAGATCAGCATGAAATACTTTCACTTTTTACTCTTTAAGTAAATTTTTAACAGGGCACTTTAATACTATTTTAAAATGATTTTTCATGTGATACTTTAACTTTTTTTTTGTTCCAGTAGCTGTACTTTTACTTTACTTTAACAAAATCTAATACTTTTTCCACCACTGGTATTGACCTCTGCCCACCTTTGGCCTGCTTTAATACACCGCCACCTTTATCGTTGCTCCCTTTTATATGCTGCTATCTCATGTAGCGGCTTGTAAACACACTATCACACCAGGATGTTGTTGAGATTAATGGGAGCTAAATATAGCATTGTTACCTGGATACATACAGTGCCCTCAACAATACAGTCTGTAGAATTTTACAGGATAAGGTGTAACATGAGCACACATCAAAATATTTGTGTAGAAAACTGTACTGTACCAGTTATCAACAAGAGGGTTCAGTCACTCAAAACTCACAATAATACTGTGTAGGGGTCTTCTAAAGTCTCCAAAAATGACAGCACAAACACCCCACACTCCCTGTTCTGCTCACAACTCAGGAAACAGTCCTGAAGAGATTGGACTACAGATGGCGCTGTCACTTCAGGTCCCAGAGGAGCATCAAGGTCTGTAACTCAAAAGTCATTGTAACATTATGTGGATTTTCTGAGAAATGTTACATGTCAAACATGCCCATGTACAACATATATATAAGCCATCATAAAAATAGAAAAATAGACACTGGGAGTTACTATAATTGCTCATGTGAAAGGCAACTGCTCACTAACCTCCTGCAGGGGGCAGCCTCAATATGGACCTTTCACATCAACATTGCTGGTCCTTCTCTATCAGCATGTCAATAATCTGTCTTTATAATATGTATTATGAATACACATTACAATTAAGCATGAAATTAAACTAACCAAAGGTAAGATTAGTGAGTGAATGTTGTACATCACAAAGCTAACTCCTGCAGGTACCACATTTAAACATGAATCCTGTTTGGGGTTTTCTCTCATGTACCTTCCACACATGGATCCACATGAGAAAAGCTTTAGGTGCGATTTGCCTGATCTGAGCTGAAGGGGCTTAAAGGCTTTTTAAAACACATCAGATTCTTCTGGCATTAGCTGTGGGCCACACACTGGTGAGTAACAGTGCTCTGTGTTTTAAATTAGACACTATGTACTTTAATGTAACAGAGGACAAGTCTTTTCTTTTCACTTGAGATTGAGAAATTTGATAATGAATAATTGCCTTGTTAAACACCTGTTTATGCCATACCTTGACTTGTAGGCAACTCTGGTGAAGTGCATGTTTTTCAGAGTGTTCTGGTGCTATGTGGACCGCAGGCTCAGTCCTGAAGGCAGTGGGGCTGTTTGTGGCTCACCTCCTCAGCTCCATCACCGACTGTTTCCAAACCAAAGCAGCCTGGGCTGACCTCAGGGTGTTGCAGGAGACAGAGCTCAAGACCACCGGAGGAGGTGAGAACAACAGGGAAACATCAGGACACTAAATCATTTTATATATTAAACATTTTGAACAAAACTATCTCAATTCATGAAGTAATGGGTAATAGTAATTTTCCAACTGCACTTAATACTGATTTGATTACTGATCCTGATTCATCTGTCTGTTTTATAGTGTGGTTACTAGTAGTGACCTCACATTATCAGTCACGCATAGTGTGAACTATTTTCTCAGATTATACAACAAAAAGGAATTCCTGAAAAAGCAACAGTGACTTAAATCCAAGCCATAAGCTCACTACATTCCAGCAATTAACAAGTACAGCTTAAAGGAAACCAGTCAGGTTTCACTATTCTATTCTATTCTATTCTATTGCACTCTATTATGCACTATTCAATTGCATACTATTGTATTCTATTTGATCACATATTGCAGACATATTTACAGCTATGTGTTTTATGAAAGTACTGTATATGTTTGGTTTTGTTTTTTTATTTCTCCTCTGTACATTTCAGTCCATGAGCGCTACAAAGCAAAGGCTCTGTGGGAGAAGACTGGAGCCGTGGTGATGGTAGTGCGTCGGCCTGGTTCACTTTTATGCAGAGAGGTTTGTGTGTTCTTGTGTAACTTTGAGCTTCACAGAAGCAGCTTAACACTTGTTTGTTTGTGTCTAAACAAGGAGGCTGCAGAGCTGTCCTCTCTCCAGCCCCAGCTGCAGAACGTGGGCGTTCCTCTCTTTGCTGTGGTCAAACAAAACATTGGGAAAGAACTAGACACTTTTAAAAAATACTTCTCTGGAAAGGTCTATGTGGACCAGCAGGTCTGTACACAACATACAGTTTACACCATCTTTTAAAGTATTTACTAGTATAAACTATTTAAATAAAATAGAATAAACTTGTATTTTGTAGAGAAATTTTTACGGCCCTGTCCAGCGGTGGATGTTCCTCTCTCTGTTTCTGCGCATTGGGGTGTGGAGGAGCCTTTGGCGGGCCTACAGAAGGGGGTTCAGGGGGAACCTTCGGGGTGAAGGCTTCGTCCTGGGGGGAGTGTTTGTGATTGGACCAGAAGACCAGGTGAGGCCTCTTCTGTCTGCCCACAGCCACTGCTATAAATGGGCTTTTCATGATTGTGCTGTTTCACAGGGCATTCTTCTGGAGCACAGAGAGAAGGAGTTTGGGGATAAAGTCAACATGTTGGCAGTCCTCACAGCAGTCCGCAAAATGCAAAAGAACATTGAATAGACCTTCACTGAGGCCATAAGTTATGTAAGAGCATGATTCAATTTGTGCGCCCAGGCCAGGACATGTTTTACACAAACACAGAGCAGCATTTTTTTAAGAGTCTATCACTACAATATGTCTACTGTGTGCCTGATGTAACCTACTTTTTCTTATCAAAACATCAGTAACAAAAACTTAAATAAAATTAATTGCAAACCCAAGTATGCGTGGTTGTGGAGACTTCTAATGTATAATGGCATTTGTAGAGTCTATGGCAGAGCTTCAGCAGCACCTTTATCTCTCTGCTCGATTGCTCGTCCTTGTGCGTGCGCCTAGATCATCCTCCATTCTCGACATACCGTTTGACGCGTGCGCACTTGCGTGTGTAATACTAGTCCAGCCGGAGGAGTTGCTGAGGGGCGCTTTTATTGATTCTGGTGAGTATTTATTGCGAAACTGTCCTATAGCGTCCTTCCCAGAGGCTTCTTGTGAAAGCCCTTTAGGCACTGGGCTATGACTCCGCGGTGGAGCTGTGCTAACTTAGCATCAGCTAACGACGAGCTAAACCCACCGACAATGACACAGGGGAAGATAAAGAGTGCATTATTATGTAACCATTAGACTGGGATAAAAAAAAAAAAAAAACAACGGTTGGAATTTCTGTTAAATTGCCTCCTTTAGCTGCATACACACGGCTTTCATTCATAACAGGAGAATAATATGTGTAGGGAGCTGAGCTGTGCTAGAAGTTGCTCTAATCAGGTTTGTCAGGGGAGCGCCTGAGGTTATGCGGTCAAAGGTGATCACTATTGTCCCTTTCAACTTCTTACAGTTGTAACTTGTGTCGTTTTATGCTCCTGTGGCCTACGTTTGCACAAAGAAAAATATGCAATACTATTTTCTCCCGACACACATCACTCACCGACTATTTTATCCGTCCTCACGGCTCGTTTTGGTTTGGTTTGGTTTTATCTGCAACATTCTCTCGCTGCACTTGTCCCTCTGCGCCGCAAGTGCTTGGACTGATGTCACGTGAACATGACACTTTAGCTTTTATAGAACTTTTAGACAAATAAAATGTGAGTTCAAATATGTATGTATGTAATGATGTAATGACTGCAGTCATTATTCATTCACTCCACACCTGCACTCACGCACAATATTCAACAGGGCAAGGCAGGTGACACAACACCAGTACAGTCTATGGCCTGAGAAATTTTACACCGCCAACCTTTGAATTTGTGAACAAACTCTATCACTGAGCCACTGTCACCATTCATTGGGATATATGCTTCAGTTTTCCAGTGAAATTCAAAGAAGATATGAACACTGACCTGTTAGGCTCAGTTTAACTTAAATGCTGTTTCATGGCAGAAACAGATGACTAGCCGTGTTTCTCCTCTGTTTCAGTGTGGTGTTAAAGCTAGTGAGGGTCCCATGTTGGCACTGTCCCGGTGCATAAAGGGGAGACTGTCTATTCCCAGCTCTGTCTTGTGTTTGGGGGGCACAGGCTTCACCAGAGTCCTGCCTCCTGCTCCTTTAAAAGCTCCACAGACTCTGTTTCACTCGAGTCAGGCCAAAGCCAGTGCTGACCCGACCCGCCCCATCACAGGCAAGACCCATATGAATGACATGCCAAATTAATATCATTTACCATGACTTAACACATAATTGCATTGATACTAATGTAAATACAACCAAAATAGCAACAGCATTTTTTATTTATTGAAATGCAACAATTTCTGTTGAAATAATTCCATCTGACCACTTATGAACCCTTTGTAATTCCCCTGAGAAGCTGGTGTAGAAATACATTTGTTAAGTGACAGCTTACCTACAGACACAGAAGTTGCTGAGTTTGGGTGTCTCAAAACCAAACTTCAAGTTGCTTCCTGTTTTACACTTCTGTATCGTTATCATTAGAAACAGCACAGAGATAATTCTCAGTTTGCTAAAGATGAGCATTTGACCAAAAGTAATGCAGGCTTTAGAATGTGGTTATATTTTACATTGATAATAACCTGTGTTGTGTTTTGTGTAGTGGACGTGGAACTGCTGGATATGGGGATGTGGTCCTTGGGTCTGGGGGCAGTGGGGGCAGCCATAGCAGGGATCTTACTGGCCAACACTGACCTGTGCCTACCCAAAGTGGACAAGGCTTCTGTGGACTACCTGGGAGATGCTGATTTGCGCTCCACCAGAGAAGGTGAGACCAGATTTAAAAGAACTGTATGTTTTTTCTATTTATGCAAAAAATATGGTGTGACCCAGCTGTTAATGCCATTGTGTTGTGTAAATTACTTTTTAATAGGGCTGGAACTAACCATTACTTGACTATAGTCAAACATAATATACAAGGCTTTTTAAATGCATTTTAACCAAATGAACACACTGAAAAATGGTGACTGAAGGCTTCTAGATAGATAATAATTACAAATAAATTGTATTATTGATAAAAATATGAAATTTATATTTTCATCTAATAATCTGTCTTTAGGAAGAAACATTTCATTTAAAGAGATCAATTTGAAACTTCTTTTGTAGTTTACGGACATAAATGTGAGAAAAAAAAACTGTATTGCACATTTTGACTCTTAATAATTTCATATAAAAAAATGAAAATAAAACAGTCAGGTTTAAATTTCCTGCTTCTCTTTGTTGACATTAGATACTAAACTATTTTGAGAATTTTAAGAAAATGTCCCATAAAACTGTATGGCATTGGCAACAATTTGCTTAAATTAAATATTAAGACAAATTTTAGTGCAGAGTGGACTATTTTGTCATTTCCACATCAAACCACAACAAAATATATATATATATTAAAAAAAGAGTTGCCTGTTGTGTCTCACTTTAGTGTCTTTTGGCATGTGTTTGAGTGGTATAGTCCAGATAATAATGATCAAAATATCTTTGGCTAATACTTCTCCATAGAGGGATATTGCTTTTGCCTGCTTAATATGTCATGTTTTCTCCCAAAAAATGTACATTGTAATGCTGTTAATAATAATTTGTAGAACTGCACAATTTATTTTCTTTGACATAATAGTACATGATTGTGCATTTACTTTCCTCTCAGACGACCATGTGATCAAAGCCAACACACTGTGGGAGAAGAGTGGGGCTGTAGTGATGGCTGTGAGGCGGCCTGGATGATTTTTGTGCAGAGAGGTAACAGACCGTGATAGAAACACAGTGTACAGCTAACTCAAGTTACTAAATGTTTTTCAAGGTCCTATATTAAGTGAAATTGACTTTAGATTGAGCCTTAAGCCATGTTATAATGTTGTTACCTCCTCAAAAATATACCTGGAGTTGTTTTGTTTCATTCACACATGTTTGAGTAATCTGTCTATATCTCCAAAGCTCAAAATGCTCTGTTCCAACTTGTGATGTTATGAAACAGTAGTTTTCATGTTAACAGCTACCTTTTACCTTATGTTTAATAAAGATTGGCAACTCCGGGGCTGAAATTATCCAAATGATTCTAGTGAAGGTGTATGGAGTTTAAAAGCAAAATCTCAGCCTAAATATGAAGGATTTGTGTTTTAAACATGTGTGAATGAACAAAACAAAACACAATTCAAGGTATGTTTTTGATGAGGAAAAAATATTCAGAAATTAGATCAGAAGTATTTTTAACGCATGCAGGAGGCCGCTGAGCTGTCCTCTCTGAAGCCCCAGCTTGAGGAGCGTGGGGTCCCTCTGGTTGCCGTGGTGAAGGAGGACATCGGCACAGAGATCCAGGACTTCAGACCGCACTTCGCCGGGGACATTTACATTGATGAAAAGGTACAAAGCAGATCGAGAACAGTATCGCTATTAGGCAAGGCAAAAGCAGCATTTATTTAAAGCAGAGCTGTTCTGCAAAGTTTACTTTTCAAAGCTTTTAGCCATGTTACAGTTTTTTCCCTCCACCATTTACTCGCCCGAGGTTGTATTTTGAGTGATTTGTGCATGTTTGAACAATCTTTAATCACTTATTTTCAAGATGCTATATTGCCAATCAACCCTCGTTTTCACTGTCCACAGCACATGCCCACTGCTCTGTCCTTGTCCCGTTCTTCAATTTTATTTTCTTTATCAGTGATATGTGTATGATTCACTGATATGCATAGGCATTGCGTATGTGATTTTGGTTCAAATGTAAAAAAAAAAAAAAAATCCACTACTCGCTAGCGTGACATGCAGCTGTCCATCGGAGTTGGACACTCTATGTTGTGATGACATTTACAGCGAGGCCAGCTCCCACTGGGTACCACAGTAAAAACAGGTTTATTTATTTTGTTATTTTGTTTTAGAAGAACATTGTGATTGTAACTACACAAGCACAACAGGTCTGCTTTAAGAGTCCTCTTTTCTCTGCTCAGACATGTTCTAAAGTCATGTGACCTCTTGTGTACATATTTTAGTCTTCACTAATATAGTATTTAGTCTAGTGAAGGCTGTGTAAATAAAATAGCAATATTTTAATGCCTATTATGAATACTTCTCTAATACTTGAAAACAAAATAATTTTATTACCACATTTACTTATTTATTTTAATTATTCTAATAATCAATTGCTTGGTTTCAGATGACATCACCACAGACTTTAATAGAGGTCGGGGCAGCAGAAATTAATATTATTTAAAAAACAGACTTATGCTATACAATACAAGATGTTAATGGGTCTAGTCACTCACAACTGAACACCTTACCTTTGGGATATTTCATAACAAAATATAATGTTATCAATACAGAAAACTGTCTCTTGTTCAGAGAATATAGTATCACATTCTAATTTATAATCTGAAAATTAGTAATATATTCTAATATGATCTCTTCCTGTTTTTTTTGCAGAGGCACTTCTACGGGCCCCTGCAGAGGAGGATGGGGGGCCTGGGCTTTGTGCGTCTGGGGGTGTGGCAAAACTTCATCCGCGCATGGAGGTCCGGGTACCAGGGCAACATGAACGGAGAAGGCTTCATCCTGGGGGGCGTGTTTGTGATCGGGCCAGGAAATCAGGTAGGCGGTTAGCAACTTTAAAGATGCACTATGTAACTTTGGCTGGCGGTCCATCACTTTCTTGTTTCTATGAATATGTCACTCCTCTGCCTGAATGTTCAACAGTATGACATTAAACAGCTTACATTTATTTAATTACAGCTGGTTTTATAGCTAAAACAGGCACCTTGACTGTAAGCACTGTGAGATGTTCCAGACAAAGTAATATCTCCATTGAGGACCCTCCACCTGAAAAGTTACACAATGCATCTAAATAGTTAATAGGTTGGGTTCATGTGAAATGCAACTTTCTAGTCTCTCTGTTGATACTTTGCAGCTGATGTCATCAACAATCTAATTTGACTATTACAGAGCTTCAAATAGAGCAGTGCCATCACATGACCTCAGCTGCAAAGTATCAACTGAATGTTGAAATGAATAGTTTAAGTACAAAACCATTTCATTTGTTTTAGGGAATTCTACTTGAACACAGGGAGAAAGAATTTGGCGATAAGGTTGACATCGCAGACGTCTTAGAGGCCGTCCAGAGAATTGCACCAGAGAAATAATGAGTTGACCTAATTTAATAAATGATGTTAAACTGTACGATATTGTATGTATGTAATGGTTAACAGGTTAAATACCGGTAATCCATGCATGAGTCATATTTTTATACGTCCATCTCTAGAAAATTTACTGTCAACGTTAAACTGTGAATTGCTAAAAAACTAAATTGTTATTTAATTAGAATCTCATGTTTTACCTCAGAAGAATTGTACTGGAAGATTAGCACTTTTGATCTATGCATTCAGCTTGTTAACAGTCTATTGAAATCAATATACAGTAGATGCTGTCCTATAGACCCTTTAAAATCCTGTGTCATCAGAATATTCATAATTCTGGAGTGGAGGCAACTGAAAGCAAAATAACAATATAATAATATATTTTCAACGATTAACTGATTAACACATCTAAATGCTAATGGTTTTACAACATTATAGCAAAAAATACACAACCATTTTTTAATTTCCAAGATACACATATTATTTGTGAATTTGCTTCTCTGTTAAGATGGATGGAAAAAAGATACATTTCTAACCTCAAAATTATATTTGAGCTTTACAAAAAGTATTATTTAATGATGAAATGTGTAATATATCTGTAGATGAAGTTTAAAAAAAAAAAAAAAAAAACAGTTGTGAGCTCAACTCTTTTGGAAGATTTGAAGGATTTGTCCAGTAAAAATGTCAAAAATATTTAATGTTTATCATAATCTATTCATAAAGATGTACTATGTAAGGTTTTGGTTAGGGGTCTTCACCACTTCACCTTCTGCCTCCAGTTACCTCCATTACCAAATTTCGAATGTTTTTTGTTTACACATTCTTAAAGGGTCTATAATATATAATAGTTCAGATATTCAAAGCTGGTATCCACGGTTGCGATTGAAGCGTTGCAAAATGTGTTATTATGACAACCAGACTCTAAAATCTCAGCAGGGGAGCTGGTTTGATGCTTGGACACATATTGCAGTGACTTGAGCCAAATTGGAGAAACTAGCTCAAAATGTCTGATCATTGTTCCTCTTTGCATAGAAGTGTTAACCACAAGTATGAACTAAAATAAAGTAACAGTACAACCACACTTGTTTTTGCTGTGTTTATGTGATGGAAGATGTGTGAGCTGATCAAATTGGATGTGGTGTGAGATGACAGATGCATGCTAGTTGCAAGGTGTTATCGAAGAAGACATACATACAAGTCTAGTTTGAAGTACTTCTAAAACTAATATTGAAACTACTGTAGACACTCATTTAAGCAGTTATCAATATTAAAAAAGTCACATTCACAGGACAGAAGTGAAACTTTCCTGAATAGTGTTAGAAAGATCTTGGGCTGTATCAGAACAAGTTTAGGAGCACACAGACGAGTATACACCCATGGACCACTATGGAACCTACCTGGATATGTGGATTACTATATTATTGTAACTAGAAATGTCAAACTCGATTTTGATACTAAGGAACAGACTATACTCTTTACCAATTTCAATACCACAGTAATAATGAAAAAATACAGTTTATGTAGACAATAGAATGTGATTTTCAACATTAAGAAATGGTACTTCTTTATCTGTGTAATCCCTCAGTCGTCCAGGTAGGTTCCATAGTGGTCCATGGGTGTATACTAGTCTTTGTGCTCTTATACAGGTCAAGATCATTCTAAAGCTATTCAGGAAAGGTTCATTTCTGTCCTGTGAATGAGACTTTTTATTATTGATACCTGCTCAAATGAGTATCTAGTTTCCATACTAGTTTTAGCATCGATTAGTATCTGATTTTCAATACTTCAGTTTTGACCACCTTAATGTGTAAATTACAAAATCAACTCTTTTAAACTATGAACTATACAACTGTTTTGCATTAAACATGTATACCTTGCTTTTTTCAATCATACGTATATGATTAAAAACACATTTTTACAGTTTGCAAGACTACCTCTCAACAGATTTAACCTGTAACTTGACCTGTTGGCTTCATCTGCTTGTCTCCATGGAGATAAATACATTTAATGCCATAGTGGGAAACAATTTAAGCAAAACAATAACCTAGACAGTTTTTTTTTTCTTTTCTTTCCATATTTTATTCAACTGCTCAGAGAAAATACACTTTACTTTACATGGAAATAGCCCAACACAATACAAAAAGGAGGTTACACTGCACAAATACTGACTCACTAAACTACATGGGGGTTCTGAAATCATCAAAGTGAAACATCACATTCTTTTGAATCACCAGAACACAGATTGTCTTAACACATACATAGTGACACTTAATAGGCAAACCCAGTAACAGGAACAATGGCAATGCTGCATAATCGGCCAAAAATCTGACAAAAATATTAAAATTTAAGGTCGTATATTACACAAAATTGACTTGTAAATGGTAAACGGTCACATTTTTCTATAGCGCTTTTCCACCTTCAAGGCACTCAAAGCGCTTTACAACAAGGAACCATTCACCCATTCACACACCAGTGTACGCAGACACTTGTGAACTTTAAGTCATGTTATAATGTTGTTACCTCATCAAAAATGTACCTGGAGTTGTGTTTTGCTTCATTCACACGTTTAACACACAAACTCTGGTATGTTTGTGTTGAGGAAACAACATTATAATATAGATCAGAAAATAGAGTAATATGAGACCTTTAAAATAAATGACTAGCTGAAATTTGGTGACATTAGTTGCATATAAATAAAATTTTTACCAAACGTTGTTCTCATCCCATCTTTGGTTCCATGTCGTCTATTCACTTTACCTGCAAACATTTATGCTAAAATCAACGTGTTTGGTGTGTGCAGAGGGGTTCCTCCTGGTAACAGTTTCATAAAACAAGTTAAAGGGTAAAGCAAATTAAAAAATGAATATTTTTTTTAAATATAGTGCAGTTTCATACACATAAAACAAAGCTAACATATAAAGCCAAGTTGATTATAAGTACTTCAGTAGCAATAAGCAATAATAATAATGGTTTGGTATTGTTGTGTTTGGTAAGAATTTATAATATACATATTTACCAGTGCTCAATGTTTAAAGGTGCACTGTGTAACTTTTCTGCTTGTCTCTATGGAGATGTTGTCGCTTTGTCTGGAATGTCCTAGTATGGCATTCAACGTAACCATCTTGAATTTACTCAATATTATGTGGGGGGGACTTCCAAACTTGCATGGGCTTGCCTCTCTAAAGATTTGACATGTAACTTGGCCCTGCAGTGTCACCTGCTGTTTTTATAGAGATAAATAACTGTAATCCCATACAGTGAAACATTCCAATCAACTAATTCTCTCTGTGAAGGGAAACTGGCGACGGACCCTTGACCAAAAGTTACACACTGCACCTTTACACGCAACAGAAAATGCAACTGCCATGTCTCCAAATGAAAAGAATGAATACAAATTTTAATATCTTCATAAAACAAATATACGTCATAACATACATTAATTAGGCTACACTTAGGAGTACAATAGGAGTTCTTTAAACTGACAGTCATCGTGTCATACTCAATGCACTATAACCCTCATTCAAATCTTCCTTATTTGCTTTTCTTATTTGTATAAAATCCACTATGCAACATTTGTTTTGTGGATAACTGCAGAACTACAGGACCCTGTTTCACTGAATGTGCTCTTAAAGTACATCTTTAAGTGTGCATATACCATATATATGATGTGAGATACTTTGAATAGTACAAGTATATACTATCAGTCAAAGGTTTGGACACAAGACCTTTTTCAGTGTATGTTTTCTTTATGTTTACCACTTTCTACATTGTATATGAAATATGATACTGAATTATGTAGCAAGCAAAAAAGTAAAAAAAAAAAAAAACCCCAAAAAACTCTAACTATTTTTATTCTATACCCTAATCTTCAACCCTTTTGTGTTGTTTTTTTCCTTAACTCCAAACTTGTTTTAGATTTATTTATTTTTGTTAATTTGTGTTCAGTACATTCAATTTTGATGCCTTCAGTGAGAATCTACAATGTAAATAAATAAGAAATATGGAATAAAGAATAAGAATAACTGAAAAAGTGTGCCCAAAAGTCTGGCTGGTCGTGTAGGTTAAATCATAATAAATACACAATATCCACACTCCGAAACACCCAGCTACACTCACCCATGACCAGAACTCCAAGTCCTTCCTGGCCACAATTAATTAATTAACTATTGCAAAGAATTAAAGCAGCTTTAAGTTTAGGGCCATAACCAACACACACCTTTATGTTAATATCTAACCTACAATACATCTTAATATATCACATATTTGTATAAATATACTATGTTATTTGTTATCAGATCTTTTATAGGTGAACTTTTTCTAGATTGCAATTCAGTATTATCTACTGACCTCTAAGTCATGAGGCGCAAACACAGACTGTATAAAGAAGTGGACTAAGGGAGCGAGACATCACCCATAGTGTTCGACTTCAGTCAAATGAAGCTCACCGAGGCTCGCAGTTATAGGGGCAAATTTGGAGCTAAGTTAAATATTGGCAATATAAAAAATGCCAGGATCAGAGTGGGTTAATATGGACATTTTAAGACCAAAATGACGAGGCTCACAGCAGCAGTTACAGAGAGAGGGTGACGCTTTTTTTCAACACAAAGTGAATTAGAACCAGAGTCGATGGAGCCAGAAGCGTGCCCATGCTCACTTCCTATTTGGAACACATAGCTAACCTGCTATGTTAACTATGTCCATTTTTATATACAGTCTATGGGTGCAAAGGACAGCTATGGCTTAAACGTGTGCTAATAAAACAAGCTGGTGATACACAAAACAGAACTACAGCTGTATTTCACTAACAAGCTCTTTTGTATGTTGACGTAATATATATTTTTCCATAAAAAATAAAACATCAAATTGCCAAACCCATCAATAAGACTAACACCTAACCTTCACAATATCACTACAACAATCCACCTACAATAATGTAATATACTCTTATAAAGTGACCACAACAAAGGTCTGCATCCGTGTGTGCTTAGTGACCTTGGAGTGCTTTTAAACATCTATACTTACATTTTATCTAGCACCTTCTTGTCGGTTTGAACATGTAACGCAGTATAAGTACACTTTAAAGAAGCCGATTCACAAGTTATGAGGAAAAATCATTAAATTCAGTTCAGTTCAGTTAGAAGTTTCTATGAGTAAAGCAACAAAAAAGTTATACAAACATGGAGAGTGCGCAAGGCAAACATTTACATTCAAAAACACAAACTGCTAACATTATTAGATACGCAATTTCAAACCAATACCACATTTCAAAGGTCCTATATTATGCAAAATGGAGCTTTTAACCATGTTATAATGTTGTCATCAAAAACATACCTGGAGTTATATTTCGTTTCATTCACATCTCTTTGAGTAATCCTTTATTATTAGTCTGTCTACATCCCTAGAGCTCAAAATGCTCTGTTCCACCTTGTGATGTCATGAAGCGGTACTTTTCAAGTTAACAGCTATCTTTTATCTTTTGTTCAGTAGGGGTTGGCAATTCCAGTTCTGAAATTATCCAAATGATTACTGTGAAGTGGAATAGAGCACTTTGTGTATTACCACATAACATCACAAGGAGGAACAGAGTGTTTTGAGTGTTTGACAGTTTGAGAGAAGAATTTAAGTCTAAATGTGCAGGGTTTGTGTGCTAAACATGTGTGAATGAATCAAAACACATCCCCATGTATGTTTTTGATGAGACAACACAATGAGGAACCAACATTATAAGCATAATATATAGGCCCTTTAATATTTGTTGTCCAATTAAAATAACTTAAACTGACCGTATCTAATAATGTGGCCAGTATATATATATATATATACGCCACAAGCCTTCAGTTTACTTGAAATGAAAGGTGTAGATGGGAAATTTACTAGTATTTGGTATGGAAGACACAAAACACTCACAACATCAAAATCATAATCCTGCAATGTTAACTATAATACATCTTCTTCCATTGGATTTTAGTTGGTCATCATTATCCAGTCTTCACCATTGCAGCTGCTTCATATAGTCAGTTAGTAACAAAAACGCATACAGAAAATGGGACGTGACCTTCTTTTGTGCTTGGAACAGACAGAAAATTGTGTGTGTTTGTTTTCTACAGGCCCTTGTTGAAGTAGACTCTGGTGGTTTCGGGGCTGGTCTCTCGTATCCTCTCCTGTAGCTCCTTCTCCAGTCCACTCACACTCATAGAACTAAAATGACAAGAGAAATTTGGTGATTTGGTTGTTTTCAAATAATAATGATATCTTCCATTTATATAGCGCTTTTCAAGACAACCAAAGCACTTCACGGCTCTTTTATGGGATCCGAATCTTTTGGATCGTTCATGTCAAAGAGTTGTTCAAAAGACTATTTATAGACATTTATGGACAACTAATTTTATCTACAAAATAATCACAGAGAGACATGACAAAGGCTCAGATTTTCTTAAGATGGTTCAAAGAGAGAGTGGGAGTGTGTTTAAATAAAATGTTGCACAACAATTTTAATAATAAAAAAATATATATCTGTTATTACGATGCCAAACGTGAACGTCAAATTTTATATTATCTAAAACACCAATAGAATCTAGTGCTGTAACACAGATATAAAGGAGTGTACTAGACATACCTTTTCTGTGGGAAGAGGGCGCAGCACAAAGGAGTAGCAAAGACGAGGCTGGAATATAAAAGAACATGTTAGAAGTGTTTGTCAAGAACCAAATAAGTCCATAAAGTAATATGTAATGGTAAAATTGGATATACTTACCACAGACCCACAAGTGCCACTTGTACAGGAGCATTCAGTACTGGGAAGCGCTACAGAAAACAAAGGGAATGTTATGTATGTATAGTATGGGATTAATCATAAAAATAATGCATACATTATGTATTACAATGGTATTTTATGTGCAGCTTTTCATTATTACAAGTTTAGATATTAAGTAGGTTGAATCTGTTATGACAAATGCTATGTGTATAGACTGAACAGAATAAACGTGGTCGCCTAAATGTCAAGAGTTTAGTCCGAGGTTATTGTAGGAGTGTTAAACTGTAAACGTGAGCTCAGGACCAGCATGAGGAATTTAAAGCTCACAACACAAAGACCTTAAACATACAGAGTGCTCTCACCTTCATGAAAGCCCTCTTCTCCAGTGCATTCATAATCACTGGAGGGATGGCTGTGGACACAAATCACACATTGTAAATAGTATACTCTATGTAGTAAATTAAACTATAAATATTATAGTTGTATAGCTTTACCCATAGCTGGAACGGCCATTCCGATCCGTGACACCACCACCTGAGCGATGGCCTGCTGGGCGGCGTTAGCAGACTCCCCTAACCTGTTTCCATTCTCATCTGTGACAGGGATACCAAACTTCAGCTCCCTGGGAACAAAAAAAGTATTAACTGTATTAACTGTATATTAAAACAAACATTGTAATAATATAATTATTTAATTCTCTGGTTTACTTTATAGATCTCACCTCTGTCTCATGAAGGGAATGTTGATACAGTTCGCAGCAGCCACAGCAGCAAAAGGAACGAAGCGGCTGACAATCGGAGGGAGACGCTACAGAGACAAAAGAAAAGTGTTAGCAATAGAACCATAATATTTGAGTTCTGTTCGTGTTTAAGCTTTAAGAGTTTACCGAGGCCAAGGCCTTCAGACTCAGGGCTGTCACCACAGCTCCAGTCGTGGCACTCACATAAGCAGCACCCAGCTGACTGTCAACACACAATTCACATTAGAATCAAGCTTTTACTACTTTACCACTCCACTCATATTTAGCAAAATAAAGAAGTATAAAAATGCTGTGGTGCAAAGCTTGAGCCACCTTCAACAATGTAAATACAGCATTAGGCATACTGCATACTTGACAGTGATGGGGGCGTCTCCGCTACGGTTGGTGTAGTTGACAACAGCATTGAAGGACTGATTGACCCACTGCCAAAAGACAACAGCAGGAGTAGTCCTGAAAAAACAGAAGAAAACCAGAAAACAAACAGCACATCAGTCTGAGCACACAAACTTGTACTTGTTGAATAGTAGTGAAAAGCAGCTTTAGTAAAAAAAAAAACAACTAAATTCAAACTGATGCAACAGTAAATAATAAAATAAATATGTTTATATTTACTTGATCTTCAAATGTGACAGCACACACCACCATTAAAGTGTTTACTATTCTGAGACTTTAGCACCACACAGTGGTCACATAATTTATTACATTTTTAATGTAATTAAATTACTCCACATTGCATAGCTTCCTTTTAAGACATTATGCTGTATAGCTGTCTGACCCAGAGAAATAAAGTTTTTTTTTAAATTTATGATCATATTTATCATGCTTCATGTTCATTGCTCACTGAGGCCAAGAGGAAGTACTCTGCACATTTTCCTCGATAAGAGGATTTTGACTCCACAGGGATTAAATCATTTGATGCAGTTCCAGTGGCACACTGGGATACAGTACCCAGCCCCTTTATACCTCTAGAGTAAACCTGAGCACTGTCATTTAGAGCAGTAGTAAATAATAAAGCTGTAGTACCTGTAAAAGGTGAGCATGCAGCCTGTGATGGTCATGTTCATGGGCACCTGAGCAGACATCCGACCAATCACAAACATCTTTTCCCCTGTGTCCGGGTGGAACGCTGAGTCGTACACATACTTGGCTCTCCAGAGCTCATCCTCTGTCAGGCCTGGCCTCACGACCCCAGCTCTGAAACAGCCATTACAACAAAAGGATACAGTTTGAACAATTATCTCTCAAACATCATTGTAAATAAGTCCCCTCTCCTCACACCTGTAGCTCTCCACGATGACCCTGGCCTCCTCAAGAGTCTCTGAAGACAGCAGCACGTTGCGAGGATCTGTTACCATGAAGAAGTGCTGAGCACGTCCCATGAACGTGCCCTGGTCCCATCGTGGCTCCTTTATGTTGATGTCGAGGGGAAGTTCTCCGGACATTTTCTCTTCCTTGAGAAAACATGAAACACTCACTGAAACAAGTTTCAAACAATTTAATTAAGCCATTTAAAAAAACTGCATTGCAAACATACTCCACATCTCCAATAATGCAATAACTCATATTTATCTATTCTATAAAGCAAATAAAAAGCAAAACAAAACAAAAAAAGAAAGTAAGACTTTTGCAGACCATTCTCACATACCTCCTATCAGTGAGGCCTGGGGGAGAGAGATAAAGGACATAATGGCTGCTCTGTTTAGTCTGTTGGAGCACAGTCAGTGAAAAAGCCAAAACGTAACAAGAGTGAAGGAAAGCAAGGTTGCAATGTTCCACCTGTAACCTGATGCCTGAGTTTTTTATGATGTGGTGAGCATGCACAAGCTGCAACCAACATACATATGAAGGTATAGTTCTGTTGTACCAGAACTTTTACTTGTTCCCATGTTCATCCCATCTGCATTAAACTGATATAATTTTTTTAATAGCAAATACTTAAGTGAATGCTACTGGTAGTATTCTAGTTTTATTTTTTATTGGGGTTATGTCTTATGTTATTTGTACGATTATATTTGTTTATACTTTTTATACAATTTTGTCTTTAAGATTAGGGGTTAGGGTTAGTTCCTTTTTATTCATGTCATGATACTAAAATTTCAAATTTGCTTTTGATACTAAAGAATAGGCTCAATAAACAATGCTGATTCTAGTACCACACTGATAATAAAAACTATTTCTTTAGACATTAGGCCTTGTAACTGTGTTATCTCACAGTCATGCAGGTATACAGTCCCTGACAAAATTCTTGTCGCTTATCCATTTGGTAGAAACAAAAGCTTATAACCTGACTTTAAATTAATCGATTGGTTTTAGAAATGTCTCATATGAAAGCTTAAACCCTCCCAAATTATGCTCAATATTCTAAAATAAATTTGCTTCACTGAAGAAAGATTGATCATTTAATGAACACAGAAAGGTCAGATTTTGGCAAGACAAAAGTCTTGTCGCCTACAGAAAATTGAACAAATAATTTACTTCAAATACAAAAATATGTTGCATAACGTCAGTGAATTAAGTAGTGGTTCTGTGAGATCCATATTTAATATCTTGTATGACTCCATGAGCTTGAAGGACTGCATCCACGCGGTTCGACAATGATTCATACAGTTTGTTGATCATCAGGAATAGCAAAGAAAGCATCTTACATGCCTCCCAGAGTTCATCAAGATTCTTTGGTTTTGCCTTCCATGCTTCCTCTTTCATTCTACCCCAGACATGCTCAATGATGTTCATGTCTGGTGACTGGGCTGGCCAGTCCTGGAGCACCTTGATCTTCTTCGCCTTGAGAAACTTTGATGTAGAGATAGAAGTATTTGATGGAGCACCATCCTGCTGCAAAATTTGACCCCTTTTATGGTTAGGAATGTAAGAGGTAGCTAATACTTCTTGATATTTTAGGCTATTGATATTTGCCTTCCACCCTGCAAATGTCTCGCACACCCCCATACTGGATGGAACCCCAGACCAGGATTTTTCCGCCACCAAACTTAACTGTTTTCTGGGTGAATCTTGGATCCATGCAGGCTCCAGTAGGTCTCCTGCAATATTTGTGGCGGCTGTGATGTAATTCGACCGAGGATTAATCTGAGAAATCCACCTTCTGCCACTTTTCCAGTGTCCATCCTTTTAGCAGGCTGTGGGCCTTGGCAAATGCCACACAGTTTTTTAATTGCCTTTTGTTTAGTGCTGGTTTCTGTGCACTGATTCGACCATGGAGGCCAGTTCAAGACAGAATTCTACAAACTGTTCTGGTTGACACAGGGACTTGAGGTGACCAGGCCTGGTGGAGTCTGCTGCAGTGGAAAAGGGGCTGGCCTTGGATTTTCGAATCAACAAACAGTCCTCCTGAGCAGTTGTCTTGCGGGGTCTGCCGGACCTGGGCTTGTCAAAAACATCTCCAGTCATTTCAGATCTTTTTCTTATTCTTTGTACTTGATGCTGAGACACATTGAAGGTGTCATTCACCTCAGCAGTGGATCTGGTCTTCAGCCTCTTGATAATTAACGCTTTGGTCTCAGGGTGGATCTTAGGCATGTTGTCAGAAGTCAAGTTGGAGTTGATGTGAAGGTCTGGTGTGCTGGGGTTCTTTTTATACACACCCACTAATTGATCGTTGACAGGTGAGGCTGTAATCTAGGATTGGGTGCATCATATGACAAGGCGACAAGACTTTTGTCTTGCCAAAATCTGATCTTTCTGTGTTCATTAAACGATCAATCTTTCTTCAGTGAAGCAAATTTATTTTAGTATATTGAGCATAATTTGGGAGGGTTTTAGCTTTCATATGAGACATTTCTAAAACCAATCGATTAATTTAAAGTCAGGTTATAAGCTTTGTTTCTACAAAATGGATAAGCGACAAGACTTTTGTCAGGGACTGTAGTGGTCCATGGGCGTATACAGCAGAAGATCATTCTAAAGCTATTCAGGAAAAAATAATTTCTGTTCTGTGAATGTGACTTTTTAAATTTATGTTTATTAAGGACATCACAATCGCATTAGACAAACCAAATGCATTGCATTAAGTGTTTAGCACAAGGTGTTTTCAACACCTGTCCATATAAAAATATAAACTACATGCATAAAAACAGATAATACAAGACACATAAGTTACATACTGATAAAATATATACGCTACATTTTCAATGGATGCATTTTTGATTGAAAACATACAATAATTTAAATTTACTTTTAGATTTGTTGTTATTGGTTTCCAGTTTTAAATCAGCTGGTAAATAGTTCCACAGTCTAACCCCTTTAAAAGAGAAAGAGGACTGACCAAGAGTCGTCCTGCACACAGGAACAACGCAATTACCACTAGTAGTACCTCTTGTGTTAGCTCTGTGTGTACATTTTATGGTCCTAGCAAATTCTGAATACAGTGGTGTATCGCAGTTAAGACACTTAAAAAAGAATTTAAGATTATTAAAATTGGTAAAATTTTCAAAGTTAGAAAGGTAATGTTGCCAGTGTCTGGGCTTTTTGTCAAGGACCTTATAGGGTTAGTTTATAAAATGAACAGAGTGGTTTCAATGTGATACAATAAGATAGATGAGAGAAAATCATTGTGTTCATGAATAGTTTAGAAGTGTGGAGTATTAGATCTTTACATATTTACTAGTATACTATTTTTAATCTTCTTTACTAAGTATTTTGTGTGACTGATAAATTTGAAATTTTTGTCTAGAGTGAGGCCAAGGTATTTAACTTCACTGACTGTTTGAATTTTCTCATTGTGAATAGTCACTTCAAAGTCACAGTTTTTTGTTTGTGTACGCACTGAAAAACAAAGAGAAACTGTTTTTTTCACATTCAGAGTCAAGTGTGACACTGTAAGCCATTTTAAGACCTGTTGTAAGGCACTCATTTGAGCAAATATGGTATTCATATTTGATGAGTGTCTAGGTCCTTTATGAGTTCTGGTATCATTTTGCATTTGATTTCCCCAAAACAGAAGCCCAAATAAACTATCAATGAACCATTTGTAGAATGTTTTCATTATAGTGATAGAGTGACTGACATAGTTACAGCAATAAATTACTTTGCTTAGAGACACCTCCCAACCCAGACATTCAAAACTCAAGCAATTTGACCCTTGTGCTTAAAAATAGTCTGATTTTCGCTCTGTTGCATTCCTGGAAAACTCGTTCACCTGAGGATAAGGCGATGCCCATAAACACTGGAGATTAATGGACTCAAATGCACCCGGGCACGCTCAGGAGGAAGGGTAGTCACGACATACCCTACTACGGCTGTCAGCAGCACTTGTCTACCCAGGCTAACCGGTTTACTGCTGTGCCGGCTACTACAGCGATATAGCACCGTTATTAATGGATTAAAAAATAAAAAAACAAAAACTACACTTAATTTGTACATGCATTTAAGTCTGGGCATTGCAGATTTAACGCTGTACACACGGGATTGATTGAGCAACATTTAGCAAAATTTAATCACAAGCTAACACGACATCTTTAAGTTACTGTGCATCATGACAGCTCAGATTAATAATCAAATAGGGCGATTAGGTTAAAATATGATTTGAGCAAACCGCGACGCGATCAGGAGCCCGTATAAACCTTCTTACCTGTGCTGTTTTCTCTTTTTGTTGAAAATGTATGACCTCTAATTTCACAGCACAGCCGGGTGGAACTGTGCGGGCTTCAATGGCACATACAAGACCATGCAAAGACTCGATCACTTTGGATTTTAGATGACAAATTAAAAAAAAACAATAAGCAATTAAAAGCAGATTTTGAACAAAATAAAACAAAAATATATTACCTTTCTAATTATTGCCACGTTTGATATTATTTTGAAGCTGAAGTGGTTTCACAGGATTTTTTGTGATAGTGGAGTAGTTACCGTATTTTTAGAGTTACCGAGGGACAGTGAAGGCGGCGGCATGTTGGAGGCGGGCTCTTTCTGACGCGGCCTCGTCATTTGTTCCGCTGAATCACGTGACAGGGCTGAGTCACGGGGCGTGGGAAGATAACCGGTCCTGATTGGCCCAGATGGACCACAAGAATTCAACATAAAGCATATGTCAACAACAGAGCAAATGGTGAACAATTATTTGAACTTTTATCATATTTTAACAATACTACTATCATGATTGATTGTAACTTATTTTGTATTGATGGCGAAGCATTATATAGTTTAGGAATATTTGTAGGCTAGTTTATTGATTATTAAATTGTCTTACATTACACAAAATTGATTCTTCTGAGCTTTTAGCCATGTTAGAACATTCTCAGAAATATACCTGCATTTATTAGTCTGTCTACATCGCCAAATGTTCAAAATGCTCCGTTCCACCTTGTGATGTCATGTAGTGGTAGTTTTCAAGTTAACCTACCTACCTTTTACTTTTAAGTGGAGTTGTTAAGGACCAAAAAAGTGCTCAATTGTTCACTTTTATGGTAGAAGCATGAAACTTTGCCAGATTGTTAACATCCCTAGGACCAACATTTCTGGATATGGAACCAGGCCTAAGTCAACCTTGGAGCCGAGTACTGCGCATGGAAACTGGAAACTCACATGGAAACGAGGCTGGTTGCTAAATTACTGCTTAAACCGCATTTTTTGGAAAATCATGTTTAATTAGATTATAGGTTCTAAAGAAATATACATAGGTTTTAAAGAAAAATAAGTATTCTCAATTTTCTGTGCCGTATGGGAAAACAATAACAACAAATCTGTTTAGGTGATGTTATCCCACTCTCACTGTTTATATATAAAAATGCTAATAAAAATATTTGAAACTCCTGGGTTAAACCGTATGTCTAATAGAGAGATATCAATGATCCAAAAGCCGATCCATACAGGCAAAAAGGTGGTGTGTCTTGCTCAACAGCTCAATTTATAATGACAGTATACAATGCTGCATGACAGATGTAATGGAACTACCAATCATCAAGTGGGAGAAAATGTATACATCTCTTTTCTCCAAAAAATATTTATATTGAATGTCTGTTTTTCTTCTCAGAGTTATGTGGCTAATGTTACAATGACATAATAATCAGGGACAGCTGACTCTGTTCTCATTCAAAGTTAGAAAGTATGCATATTATGTGTGAAATACAAAACACACTTTGAGTGAAAAAAAAACATGATAGAAAAGTGATTTATTTATAAACACAACCATCCACCCCAAATGTGACATGATAGATTTTTGTACCTTTACTGCCATTTCCTGAAAGTCCTCTCCTGCTTCAGAAATTATGTATTTGAGGCAAAAAATGGGACAGTTGGGGTCTGTTATATGTTAAATCTCACAACTCTTCAAATAGAATTAGTTTACATGAATGTTCCTCCAAAAAAACAAATAATGTCTCCTAAAAACAAATAATGCTCCTAAAAAACAAATAATGCACCTAAAAAACAAATAATGCTGATTAAAAAACAAATAATGCTCCTAAAAAAAACAAATAATGACTACAGACACATAAACCGCCTGCTCCTTCACTTCTTTGACATGTTTACTCACCGGTGAAACTTGAATTTTGGATACGTCACGGTGTGTTTGATCAACACAGGCTGCAGCTAAAAGAGCAGCACTAGATGACAATAATGCTCAAGTTAAGGTCTAAAATGTAAATAAATTGATCAGTAAACTCGTGTCTCACTTTGGCAAATCTGTGTCATTCTCCAGAGGGCACCATATAAACACCTAACAGGTTAGGACTGAATCAGACAAGTTCACACACTGCCCTGTCTGGATACCTACAAAATAAATCATATTATTTAGTATTGCTTCATCATTATTGTATTTTAGATACAACCACTCATAGAAGACTCTTTTAACAAATACAGCCGGAGAAATAAAGACATTTGTTTTGAGTCGAACAACTTATATAATTAACAATAATAATAATAGTTCTGTTTTATATAGTGCTTCTCACAATAACTCAGACACTTCACAATACAAGGGACAGGACAAACAATCTCAAGTAGTGAGGAAATAATAATTTTGGGGGATTACAGGCTCAAAGATCAAAGGTGATCTTTGAGCTGTTTTTTGAAGGTGTTTAGTGAGTCTGAGGGGAAGACAATTCCATAGAGTCGGTCCAGCAGTGGCAACGGCTCGGTCCCCCAAGGTCTGCTGCTTTGATTTGACTGTGGGAGTGAGGAAGCCATAATGTGCTTATGACTTAAGTCAAAGCATAACCAGTCTGCCTGATAACAGAACAGAAGAGTCTATGATTGAGCATGTGAAAATTTTCCCCAAAACAGAGACATTTTCATTTTCTTTCTTAGAAGCTGAGATTCATCAAATATTTCTGCCTACCCAGATTCACACGCTAAAATGCTGATACTGGAGATATCACTTCTGTACCCACTGTGACATTTATTACCACAGCACAGTGCCCACTTCTGTGTTTTCTAAAGACCAACACTTGTTTTGTGATCAGAGACCAGTGTTTGGGGTTTTGGGGCCTCACTTCCACGCAGCATTTAATTATCATTATAATTAATTAATTATCAATATGATATGGCATTTACAGATCTTTAGAGATGGTTAAATGTTTTTTGTAATAAAAACTCTGATAAATATGGCTTTAAAAATATTTTATTAACTTGGATTTCAACCACACGGAACCCACACAACCCTTACAACGGTCACGTGACCTCCTTAATGCTTTGGAGCTTAGAAAAAATTGTTGTTCAACATTACAAAATTGATAACTAACCAAATTAGACTATAAAGTGATATATATATATATATATATATATATATATATATATATATATATATATGTGTGTGTGTGTGTGTGTGTGTGTGTGTGTGTGTGTGTGTGTGTATATATATGTGTATATATATATATATTATGCCAGCCTGGCAACATTCTCAGTTTTCAGCTCCAGTGTTAAATTAGATTTGGTTCCATATCCAGAAATATTAGTCCTGGGGGTGTTAATCTGGCAAAGTTTCATGCTTGTACCATAAAAGCGAAGTATTTTGGTCCTTAACAGCTCCACTATTTAGGTCAGTAGAGATTGGCAATTCCAGTGTAAAGTGTATGGAGTTTAAAAACACAGTGGAGCACTTACTGTATTGCATCATGTCATCACAAGATGGAACAGTGTTTTCAGTTTGAGAGAAAAACACTTGTTTCAATCACACATGTTTAACCCATAAACCCTGCCTAAATATGCAGGTTTTGTGCGTTAACCATGTGTGATTGAAACAAAACTCAACTCCCGGTCTGTAAGTGATGAGAATATTATAACATAGATCTGAATATAACGTAATGGGCCCTTTAAAGTTTGTGATGTATATAAAAGAATATAAAGAAAAATGTTGTCTGCAGTCTGCAGTTCCACCATGGATCTATGTGTAGCAGACCTACAAATCTAGAACCCGCGTCTCCATTACCGCAGTTGGCCGCTGGGTGGAAGTGTAGACCGTGCCGCAAACCTGTTCATTTACTCAGTCCGAGCGAACTTTGCTGAACTGTTGAACCTCACCTACCTGTTTAAGTCTTAGGACAGCACTGAGGACGTCGAAGCCCATTACACCTTTTGCGCCCGTTACTGTCCTAAATCCTACTGCAACAGCTGCAGAGGGTCGGGCTTATGTAAAGAGCTTTGGACACACTGGTCACCTGGAGGAGTCCAAATGACACGGCTGTAATATTCCGCAGGTGTCCATAGTGCGTCAGAGGCAAGAGGACCCGTGCTCTCCGTGGTGCACTCGTGCTGAACCAAACGGCAACAGACGTCAACAAAGCAACGTGGACCAAGGTAATGAAGAGCAAATAATGATATTTATATTTGGGATTATTTCACAGTTGTATTACTTTGCTTAATGCTTTCGTTTATCTACAGCCACGTGAGAAGATTAGCAAAGCGCATTTCTATTAACCACGTGGTCATATCATTCATCATTGTAGCTAATTGCGTTCGACAGTCTGGTTAAAACTACTAAAAGCCATTCAAATCTTCAGAATATTGATACTTTGCAGTAGCATCACGCTGGGAGTGTTGTACATTTATGTGTATGGCGGAATCAATTCATCAGTTACCATGGTGACAAAATGCACACATTAACAAACACTGGCAAGAAAAAAATATACAGAAAAAAAAGTCATGTTATGTTAAAATAAAGATCAGATAAAACAGTCTAACAAAATGTCAAACAGAATGGTGCCTAGAATTAGCATCACCCCCCCAGGGAGTGTTGATCACCTCAACTGCAAAGTATCAATACATTACCTGCATTTTTGTAACAGTCACTTGATGTTTCGTTTGTGAACCACATGTTGTCTCTGTCCATGGTGCTGACTGATTAAGAAATTATACCCACCTGGTGACATCATAATGTGACTGTTAACCTGTATTTTTAACCCTTTGTGTGATACGCTGATTTTGACTCTGAAGATCTTATTTTAGCACTTTTAGTAATGACTGTTGTCCTCTCCGCAGATCTCTGTTTAATTAAACATGACCCAAGGGGAATCTCCATGGCCCGGTGACTGCACAGCACATGGCTCTCAGGAGGGACATGGATGGATGACACAGTGAAGTGGATATGCTTTTTAAGAACCCAAAGTCAACTGTTTTATGAAGAAATAGAAACTAATTTAACTTATAACTGATGGTGGTGCGGCTCTGATGTCTGATCTCATGACTGATCTCATGATGTGAACTGGAAACAGACTTCAATATGAACCAGTCAGCTGTTTTGGGAATAAATGGTACCTTCTACAACATATAACTGAAGGTGGAGCAACTTGTATGTGTGAAATAGAAGTGGACACAGACATAAATAATAAACAAAGTCAACTGGTTTGTGAAAAAATAGAAACTGCTACAACTTAAGCTCTGATGTGTCAGACAGAACTGGACACAGACCTTCAGCTCTCTCCCTTGTTCACATAGAGTCTCCCAGTTTGGCCCCTTCCCCTGTAGGTTACACCAATCTTCTGTCTGGATGAGTGGGAGCGGTGCAGCCAGTGCAACATGGCGCACTCCTTTGGCCCCTGTGACTGGGGAGAGATGACAAACGGAGAGGGGCGCCCTCACCTCCACAATGGAGGGTCTAATGGGGGGTCCCATTGCAGCTCCAGGACCAGAGCAAAAAGACAGCCCCAGCGCAGGCACAAGTCTCACTCTCCCATGGGCCGAGTCATCCTCATCAACACGGCTGAAGACGGTGAGTGGAACTGCCCACACAATACATGACAATACATGACAACACAAATACTAGGTATTATAGTTATTGCAATTAGAGTTAGATCTACTGACATATAACTGGTACAATGAATATGATTGCATTAATTCTGACAAAAAATAGTTTCTGTTTTGACTAAAATTATATTTTAGTCAGGATTTAGTCATTTAGTAATGTTTTTTTTAACTATACAAATTGTATGTCATTGCTTCACAAGACATGTACAGAGGCATGGGATTCCGGCATTGAAAAGTGGAACTACCACTTATTTCCTTCATTCATTTTTGTTTCCTTTTTATTATTCAACAAAAATATAATTAATACTGATTTTGAATCTTGGTTTTAGTGGTGCCTGTGACCCTGTTTGTGTCTGTGTTTACAGCTGGAGATGAGAGTGAGGACCTCCACACTATGACCGTGGACAGGAGCCCTGATGGGCGTCTGGGCTTCAGTGTTCGTGGAGGCTCTGAACACGGACTTGGCATTTTTGTCAGTAAAGTAGATGATGACAGCTCTGCAGGTTAGAAAAGACACACAGAGTCATGAGTTTAGAATGCATATACTTACTACTATACTTTGTAATTAGGGTTTGCTGTATTTGTGTTGTATTGTTTTACATACTTCACTGTACCAAGCATGAGTACTGGTCGTTACAGGATTTGCTGAAAGTACTATTCAAATACAGCTCATGGGATTTAGTCTCCTGTTTTGTTTCACATTTTACTGGGTTTCAATCATTCAAAAGAAATTTTAATTACTATAGCGATGGTGCTAATTTTTCCTATAATTCCAAGATTTATGTTTCCATTTTAAGAATAGTTAAAGCAACAAGTAGTCTCTTAAAGGGCCCATGTTATGCTATTTTATTATCTGTTATAATGCTGTTTCCTCATCACAACATACCCGGTGTTGTGTTTTTTTCATTCATACATGTTTAACACACAAACCCTACATATTTCGGCTGAGCTCTTCTCTCAAATAGAAAACTGTTTATTCCACCTTGTGATGTCATGTGGTTATAGAGGAAGTACTCCTGTGTTGTTAAACTCCATAAACCTTTGCTACAATCATTTGGATGATTTCAGCTCTGGAATTGACCATTTCCACAGAACAAAAGGTAAAAGGTAGCTGTTAACTTGAAAAATACTGACATCACAAAGTGGAACAGAGCATTTTGAGCTTTGGAGATGTAGACATACTATTGCTACTAGTAATACTGGATTACTGAAGCATGTGTGAATGAAACAAAACACAACTCCAGTTATGTTTTTCATGAGGTAACAACATTCTAACATGACTAAAAGCTTACAGGAGTCAATTTAGGCAAGGCAAGGCAAGGCAAGTTTATTTGTATAGCACAATTCGTACACAAAGTAATTCAAAGTGCTTTACAGAATAAGAAATACATTAAAATCATAATAAAAACAAATCAAAACATAAATAATCATGAAGATTAAACTTAAAAAAGAGAGACATAAATTGGAGAGAAGAGTGCGGAATGAAAACCTTTCAGTTATATGCACAGTTAAACAGAAATGTTTTGAGCCTGGATTTAAACAGCGTCACAGAAGAGTCTGTCTCACATGTTCAGACTGTTCCAGGTTTTAGCTGCATGAACCTGAAACGCTGACTCCCCTTGTTTAGTCCTGACTCTGGGCACCAGCAGGAGGCCGGTCCCTGAGCTCCTCAGAGTGCGAGATGGTTCATATGACACTAACATGTCACAGATGTACTTTGGTGCTCGGCCATGGAGAGACTTGTACACAAGCAGAGTTACTTTAAAGTCTATTCTCTGAGGCACAGGAAGCCAGTGCAGAGACCTGAGCACAGGACTTATGTGCTCGTACTTCCTAGTTCGAGTAAGGACCCGAGCTGCAGCGTTCTGGATGTTCTGCAGCGTCTCACAGATCGTTTGGAGAGACCAGTGAGCAAACCATTACAGTAGTCTAATCTACTGGAGACAAATGCATGGATAAGTTTCTCCAAGTCTGCTTTAGACAGTAAACCTTTGATTTTTGCTATGTTTTTTAGATGGTAAAAGGCTGCAGATGTTATTGATTTGATGTGGCTGTTAAAGTTCAAGTCTGAGTCCATTATTACCCCTAGATTTCTTGCCTGATTTGAAGGTTTTAGAGAGAGAGACTGGAGGTGACTGCTGACACTGTCCCTTTGTTTCTGTGGACCAAAGACTATGACTTCAGTCTTGTCAGAGTTTAGCTGGAGAAAGTTGTTTTGCATCCACACACTGATCTGTTGGATGCAATGACCAAGTGAGTCCACTGGTCCATAGTCTCCTGCTGCCAGAGAGACGTAGATCTGAGTGTTGTCTGCATAATTGTGGTAGGACACATTATTGCTGCTTATCAACTGGCCTAATGGCAGCATGTAGAGATTGAACAACAGGGGGCCCAGGATTGACCCCTGAGGCACCCCACAGGTCAGGGCCATGTGATCTGAGACACAGTTTCCAATTTCAACAAAATACTTCCTGTCTTCTAGATAGGACTTGAACCAGTTTAGTACAGTACCAGAGATGCCAATTTAGTAGGAGTATAGAATGATATAAGAAGTATGGTTCAAGATAATTAAATTTTACATTTTTGACACTCATTTTGGGTAGGCTATAACATATTTACTCATTAACAAAATTATATTCTTGAAGTAGATTTAAAAGTACAATGTGATAAAAGTGTTGACATTGTATTGTCTCCCCAGCGCAGGCCGGGCTCACAGTGGGGGATAAACTGGTGGAGGTGAATGGAGTGAGTATGGAAAGCATCACCATGAGCAGTGCAGTCAAAGTCCTGACCGGAAACAACAGGCTTCGGATGGTGGCCCGCAGGGTCGGCAAGATCCCAGGCATCCGCTACTCCAAAGAGAAGACCACCTGGTGAGAGAAGCAAGCAAACAAGCATTAAATTAAATACAGGAAAAATTATAAAAAAAGGGAATGGTGAAGCTATAAATACACTAAACTGTAGTGAGATGGATGATGTCACATCACTATAGTGTCTAACTAATGTCTCATTGTTATTTGTCACTCCCCCTTCAGACACATTATACATTTCACAATTGGCATGTGTCTCTAATGAAATTACTGCACATCGCATCAGGTTTGTGAAGTGGTAGCGTATTGTTAGGGGAGTGCCTTAAGTAATTAATAATTAATTAATAATAATAGTGTCCAGGGTGAGAAGGGTCCGCTGTGATTCAACCTGCTCTTTGCAATCATAATCAGAATTACTTTACTTTAGTACTTTACCAAAGCATAAATACAGTATTGTTTGTGAAATTCCTCAGTTGACCAGGCTGGATCCATCGCAAAGAAGACATTAAATTTTGTCCAATGAATGCAACTTTTTTCATCAAATATATTTCACAGCTCATCTAAGCTGCTTCTTTAGTTCTGAGAAGTGAGAACCAAAGAAGCAGCTAGAATGACCTGTGAAACGTATTTGAAGAAAAATGTTGTCCAGTTGACATAACTGAATTTCTCCTTTGCAGCAATTACAATATTTACATAATTGAGGTAGATCAACTGAATTTAGTCAGAAAAAGTGTACAACCTGTATCTGTCTGTAAAGTAGACTTCTTTTCACTTTCATATTCTGTGTTGTGAGACTTGTGCTTGTTCCTTTCACCTGTCCTCCTCAGAGCTGCTTTGTTATTGTGCTGCCTCTTGCTCCTGCCACTTGTCCTTGTCTGTTGGATATTCAGTATCTGACTCTCAGGTGGCTCCACTGGACACATGACCTCTCTGACCTTTTCAGTTTCATAACAAGATACAAGATGGCTGCTTCCCATGTAAACCCAACATGTACGTGTGTGTGGATGTGTGTGTGTTGTGTGTGTGTGTGCGTGCGTGTGCGTGTGTGTGTGTGCAGGGTGGACCTGATTCACCGGAGAATGGTGGTGGAGGAGAATGATGGGACCCCGTCTATTGTGAGCTCAGACAGCAGCGCTCTGAGGAGGATCGTGCACCTCTTCACCACCTCAGACGACTACTGCCTTGGCTTCAACATCAGAGGAGGGAAAGAGTTTGGACTGGGCATCTATGTGTCCAAGTAAGTGCCACAGCCATACTAGGATGGAAATTATCATAGAAAGAACACTTCTGTACATGTAAGATCATCAGAATGTAGAATTTTATGCATTCAGTTCCCAAGTGAAGCTTTACTCTTTAATGTTTTATTGTATATGGTGCATCTGTTGAAGCACTAGTACTCTTGCATTAAATGTGAATGCAAACACTAAACCTGAACCAAACCTGGACTAAATCAGGACTAAACCTGGGCTAAACCAGGACTAAACCAGGATTGAAACTGATCCACTATTTAACCAGGACAAAGCTTGAATTTGAGTGGAGATTACTGGAAGACTGAAACAAGACTATACTTAGACCGGGTCTAAACCAGGAGTCAATCATGTCTACATTTAGTTCTTAAACAAGGTCTAAAACAAGGGCAAGAGAGGTCCAAACTATGTATAATTTGACTAGAACCAAAACAGTCAGCTTGATAAACTAAATGTCTAATGTAAATGATGCGGTTGGTAGGGACTGACAGAAATCTGTTTAAAACAAAAAAGCCAAATAATTGTGATCTAGAAAAATGTATTTTAACTAAGAAAACAAAATGGTGCCATAATTAAAGGGCCTGTACCCAGTTTGTAAATGTAATCAAGTATAATTTGACACGTCTCAGTACAGATAGAGTGTAAAAGCAGCACTGAGTGACAAAATTAGACCCCTGAATGCTGTCTGTATCTAATATAATTCTGTAGACAGCAAAACAAGAAGTAATGCTGGTGCGTGGCATTACCACTCCACATGTTGTTGTTGTTTTCACATATGTAGGGGTGCTCCATGGACCGAACCCACTGCTCACTAGATTTCTGTTTACTTCACTTTTGGATTGGTCTTGTTCACATGCACCGACCATCATGAGCCACGTGAGAGTTGAGCTGAACGCAGAACTTATAGTATTTCTAAGACAACATGCTTCAAGCAACAGAGCCTTGTGAATATGGTGTTCTTTTCTTTCATCTGAGGCTAAATACACCATGAGCACTATGAATAATTACTATGCTAGGAATATGTTAGATAAGTGGGGGAAAAATGTGGACTGCTACAAACAGTTTACTATTACTAAACTAATGGACATAATCTCTACAAAGCATTTAGTCTTAATAGCTTTGACAACAATACGATTATGCCCGCATTAGCAGCAGGTGCCAGTTTCACCCATAGTTCCACAGGTTCATTAGTATCAGTGTGTGCATGCCAGACACCAGGATATAGGCTTAATTGCATGTAATGACTTCCAGTGTCATTAAAGGATTTGTGTTTCACTTATTAGATCCACGCATTGTCCTCCCATCACAGTGTGGATAATTATGTCTAATTTATTTCCATCACACTGATAAAGGCACGCAGGCAAGCATCCAGTCTAATACTAATGTTTAGCCAAGGTTGAAGGATTTAAAGGGATGTTATAATATTGATTCCTCTTCATAAACATACTCTGAGTTGTGTTTTGTTTCATTGACACAACACACAAATCCTGCATATATAGGCTGAGTTCCTCTCTTAAATGGGAAATACTCTGTTCTGCAATTAAACATCATCCAGAATACTGTCATTAACAGGATAAGACTCATAACTGGGATATTGATTGCATGTAAAGACACTGAGGATCATCTTATCCATGTTTTAGTCCAGGGGTTCTCAGACTTTTAGAGACTGGGGACCCCTTATCGTTATGAAAATATCGACTAGACCCACTATTGGCCTCCGCAATGGCATCACAATAAGCATCTTTATTACCTAATTTGGATGAAGATTTATCTCTCATTTTATTGATGTAGTTGTTGCCATCAAAACATTACATGTTTGGGAGTGTATATCATAAGAAATTGTAATATTAAAGTCATGATCAGTTGTTTTCACAATATTCGGTGGTCCTCCAACACATGGTCCAGGGGCCCCAAGGGGACCCCACTTTGAAAACCACTGTTTAATCATATTTTAGAACAAGCTTAGCCCTCATTTATGCTCTATTTTAGGTGGTGGATGAACCACTGGTGTATGTAGTTCCATTGAGTGTAGTCTTTGCTACTTCAATATTGCTCACTTTCAATATTTTTTTATTAAAGGTTAGACCCTGGTGGTCTGGCCGAGCAGCATGGCATCAAAATGGGTGACCAGATCCTGGCAGCCAATGGGGTGAGCTTTGAGGACATCAGCCACAGTAACGCCGTGGAAGTTTTAAGGGGCCACACACACATCATGTTGACCATCAGGGTAAGAATGTCTCATCTTTAAACTTTCCCTTCCTCCTCCCCAGAGTCACATATAGAGTGTCAAAACAGAGCTGACTTATGGCCTCTGTACTGTTACTTAATAATACAAACAGCATCAGAAGCAACAACAACAGACAGTTGAGTGAGTGTGACTGAGTGCACTTAGCCTGTATGTTTTTGTCTCACAGTTCTTTTGTATAAGGCCAGTGTTTTGGTGAGAGGCTGTAGCTCTGGGGCTCTGGTGCATGCTCGTTTTACCCCTCACAGCTCAGGTTCCATGTGTGAAAAACAGCCAGCAGATCCTCCATTATTCAGCATAGTCAGGGATCCTGTTATAATCAACAGAAAGCATAGTTTATGGCATCCCTGACTCCAATGGGACACAACAGGGGTTAAAGAGCAAGAGTGAAATGTTAAAATGTTAAATATAACCCTAGCCAATATCTGAAAATCCATACATGTGTTATACATTTGAACATATGATTTCCACATATTTATTCATAGGAGGCTGGACGGTACCCTGCGTACAAGGAGATGGTTGCAGAGTACGGTTGGCTTAACAAATGTAAGTTTCCCGTTCAAAAGTAATCTGAAAAAAGGTGGTTGAAATTTAGCTCTTTTTAAAAGTCAATAAGTCTGCATTATAGAAATGTGAAAATATAGTCTATGAAAAATAAAGCTTACGTGATTTTCAGTCTCATGGCAAATTTATGTTATCCACACAAAATATACTATTATGTCTGGAAGGGCATCTGATTTAAAGCCAACATGATCAATGTCATGCCAATGACTCGCTTAAGATGAAAAGTTAAACTGAAAGGATCTTTATTTCATTAAAGCAGTGGTGTGAATTTTAAAATAGATCATCAGATGGCAGGACTTAATCCATTGAAGAAAGAGGTCCAAAACCTTCTCATGTCCTCAAATAACACCAACAACTGTTTTAGGATAGACTTTGACCAGCCTAACCTCCTCTCTTTAATGGGCCTACAGTATATTATGCAAAACTGACTCTTATGAGCTTTTAGCCATCAAAACATACCTGGAGTTGTGTTTTGTTTCATTCTCACTTGTTTGAATAACCCTTTATTATTAGTTAGTCTACATCTACAAAGCTCAAAATACAGTCCCTGACAAAAGTCTTGTCGCTTATCCATTTTGTAGAAACAAAAGCTTATAACCTGACTTTAAATTAATCGATTGGTTTTAGAAATGTCTCATATGAAAGCTAAAACCCTCCCAAATTATGCTCAATATACTAAAATAAATTTGCTTCACTGAAGAAAGATTGATCATTTAATGAACACAGAAAGGTCAGATTTTGGCAAGACAAAAGTCTTGTCGCCTACAGAAAATTGAACAAATAATTTACTTCAAATACAAAAATATGTTGCATAACGTCAGTGAATTAAGTAGTGGTTCTGTGAGATCCATATTTAATATCTTGTATGACTTCCATGAGCTTGAAGGACTGCATCCATGCAGTTTGACAATGATTCATCCAATTTGTTGATCAAGTCATCAGGAATAGGAAAGAAAGCAGTCTTACATGCCTCCCAGAGTTCATCAAGATTCTTTGGTTTTGCCTTCCATGCTTCCTCTTTCATTCTACCCCAGACATGCTCAATGATGTTCATGTCTGGTGACTGGGCTGGCCAGTCCTGGAGCACCTTGATCTTCGCCTTGAGAAACTTTGATGTAGAGATAGAAGTATGCGATGGAGCACCATCCTGCTGCAAAATTTGACCCCTTTTATGGTTGGGAATGTAAGAGGTAGCTAATACTTTTTGATATTTTAGGCTATTGATATTGCCTTCCACCCTGCAAATGTCTCGCACACCCCCATACTGGATGGAACCCCAGACCAGGATTTTTCCGCCACCAAACTTAACTGTTTTCTGGGTGAATCTTGGATCCATCCAGTAGGTCTCCTGCACTATTTGCGGCGGCTGTGATGTAATTCAACCGAGGATTCATCTGAGAAATCCACCTTCTGCCACTTTTCCAGTGTCCATCCTTTTAGCAGGCTGTGGGCCTTGGCAAATGCCACACAGTTTTTTTATTGCCTTTTGTTTAGTGCTGGTTTCTGTGCACTGATTCTACAAACTGTTGTGGTTGACACAGGGACTTGAGGTGACCAGGCCTGGTGGAGCTCTGCTGCAGTGGAAAAGGGGCCTTGGATTTTTGAATCAACAAATGGTCCTCCTGAGCAGTTGTCTTGCGGGGTCTGCCGGACCTGGGCTTGTCAAAAACATCTCCAGTCATTTCAGATCTTTTTCTTATTCTTTGTACTTGATGCTGAGACACATTGAAGGTGTCATTCACCTCAGCAGTGGATCTCGTCTTCAGCCTCTTGATAATTAACGCTTTGGTCTCAGGGTGGATCTTAGGCATGTTGTCAGAGGTCAAGTTGCAGTTGATGAAGGTCTGGTGTGCTGGGGTTCTTTTTATACACACCCACTAACTGATTGATCAGTAACTGATCACAGGTGAGGCTGTAATCTAGGATTGGGTGCATCATATGACAAGGCGACAAGACTTTTGTCTTGCCAAAATCTGACCTTTCTGTGTTCATTAAATGATCAATCTTTCTTCAGTGAAGCAAATTTATTTTAGTATATTGAGCATAATTTGGGAGGGTTTTAGCTTTCATATGAGACATTTCTAAAACCAATCAAACCAAAAAGGTCAGGTTATAAGCTTTTGTTTCTACAAAATGGATAAGCGACAAGACTTTTGTCAGGGACTGTACTCTGTTCCATCTTGTGATGTGAAGTTAATGGTTAACTTTTACTTTTTGTTCAGTATCCATTCCAGGCTGAAATCATCAGAAATGATTCTGGTGAAGGTGTATGGAGTTCAAAAACACATATATTACCACATGGCATCACAAAGTGGAGCAGAATGTTTTCCGTTTGAGAGAAGAACTCAGCTTAAATATGCGGCACCGTGTGTTAAACCTGTGTGAATGAAACAACGATTCACTGCTCAAGGAATGTTTGTGATGAGCAAACAGCGTAATAAGGGCCCATTAAGTCTCACCATTTCGGAAAATTAATCTGGACGAGAGCGTGATCTTATCGGCCATCCGGTCCGTTTATTCATCTATGATGATACTGATTTTGCTTTTTGGAGTGGCACCCAAACAAAAAAGAAACTATTTCCTGTTCTTAAACGCAGAGAGGATTAACATGTAGATGAGGTCACCCGGGTCTAATCCTAACAGCAGCATATGTGAAAGCAAAACCACACTTGTATATTTGTTGTTTTTAATACATTTTGACATATTTGTAACATTTTTAAATCTTGTTTTAAAATAATATTATTTTGCAGTAACCAATGGGGTTCCAGCATCGTGGTCACATGGTTCGGAGACCAATTCTTCAGCATCTTCTCTGTCCTCTGGCACCCCTCTGAGTTCAGTGAGTGGACTCTCCCAAGTTCTCTACCCTCCAGTTTTTGGCCACGATATGGTAGATGTCGCCATAGCAACGGAAGGACCACCCAAATATCAAATAAGGACAGAAAGGACAAATGAAATTGCCATTCAGACCGACCCTTCTCACTATTTCCAATCAGAAGAGTTACCACCATCAGAAATCACCTATCCGGATCAGATTGTAGTTGGAGAAACCAGCAGGACTTTTGGGCAGACAGTTCTCCTGAAGGATACAGTGATACGGGGAAAAGGGGAGGGGCCTAGAGAGGTGGGAGGAGCAGGAGAAAAGAGGCGGGGCCGGGCCAGGACGCTGTCGTCAGGAGAGCGGGACGCGCCCAATCACTCGCCCAAAACGGCTGCGCTAATGGCTCTGAGCGGACCCCCCAAGCCAATCAGACGCTCGCAGAGTCACATCACAGCATCAGGTAGGTTTGAAATAGCCTACTTCTACTGCTACTGTTTTGATTGGGGATGCTTTCAGTTTTCAGATTTAGTCTATGTTATAATGTTGTTTCCTCATCAAAAACATGACCATGAGTTGTATTTAGTTTCATTCACATGTTTAACACACAAACCCTGCATATTTAGGCTAAGTTTCACACAGAAAACACTCTGTTCTACCTTGTGATGTTATGTAAAACAAGAAGTGCTCCACTGTTTTTTTTAAATCTATACACCTTTGCTGGAATCATTTGGATGATTTCAGCCCTGGAATTGCCAACTTGCAGTCCTATGTATAATGTTGGGTAGAACATATTTAAACCCATTCGTTGTGAGCATAGTGAGCATTCGTCACCCATAGCGTTCGGCTAGAGTCAAATGAAACACACTGAGGTTAGCAGTTATAGGAGTGAACTTGGGCCAGGACCATATGAGGAATAGGATAGAAATTGATTTACGGACAATATAGCAAAATAAAAACACCAGGATCATGTAAAGTGGGTTAATGCAAACATTTTAAGACCAAAATGAGGAGGTTCACTGCAGCAGTTACAGAGAGAGGAGTGTATTTTCAATACAAAGAGAACTGGAGCCAGAGCTGATGGAGCCAGAAGCATGTCCATGCTCACTGCCTATTTGGAATGCAGGAGCTAGCATGTTAGCTATGTCCATTTATATATACAGTTGTAAGTGGCCTGTACCGTGTCCTTACATAACCCTCAGCTCTCTTCACATCAACAGTATTTATTTGGGTGCACAGTTTGATGCATCACCCCTCCTCAACTGTATTCACTGTGCTGTGTAAGATGAATGGGCCTATGCATAAGAAGAGACATCTACCTGAGCGCATACAGATAGGGAGTTATTGCTCTTATGTTTGGAGTTTGGCTAACCCCCTCCATCCTCTAAGGAGTGGAGCAGGGGCTGATGGGACATTGGTTTAGTATAGTGACTGGGCTGGGAGCTGCTATTCATCTGAGTTACTGCATGACTTTATACACTTGTAAATGGACGGCTGAGGGGTCAGAAGGAGAGAAGAGATGGTAAACTGTATGTGTGAGCAGTGTTCATTGGTTTTAAATGTATATATCACATAAAATTGACTCTGAGCTCTCTCAAACCGAAAACAATATGTTCTACATTGTGGTGTCATGTGTTAATTCTAGAAGTGCTCCAATGTGTTTTTAAATTCCATACACATTCACTAGAATCATTTGGATAACATGAGCCCTGAACTAAAGGTAAAAGGTAGCTGTCAACTAATAATAATAATGCAGGATTACTCAAACAGGTGTGAATGAAGCAAAACACAACTCCAGGTATGTTTGGAGGAAGTAACATTGTAACATGGCTTAAAGCTCACAAGAGTCAATTTTGTGTGATGTGGAACATTTAAGAATCAATGATTCTTTTTCTCATTTATGGAAAATATTAGTAATTTCAAGAAGAATCACGAGCTAAAATTAAAGCAGTTGTAGATGTCATTCACAGAACAATTTTACTGGATCTACTGGAGGAAGGTAAGCTGTGAGCAACTTTTCCATCCTAGAAAACACATAAGTGAAAGTTAAAGTTAATATTAGTTAACTATAAGATATTTTAAGTTCCCTATAAAACTAACAGCCCTGTGTCCCTGTATGGTGCAGAGGAGCGGCAGAAGAAGCAGCAGAAGCAGAAGACCTCAGCTGAAGGTCCACCAGACCTGCAGCGCTCCAAGACCTTTGTGAACTTGCTCTTCAAAAAGGAGAAGAGCCGCTCCAAGTCCCCCTCCAGACACACACACTCAGGTTTGACAATGGCGCTTATGTCTTACATACTTTTAAATATTTGTGCATTTTAATATAAAAAATTTTATCAAACAATATCTTAACATCTTCTTGTGTGTGTGTTTATAATGTACCTCCCTCTTCTTGTGTGTGTATATTTCTGTTCAGATAAAGAGCGTGGCCGTCCCTTTAAGCTCCTGTCCTCTCCTAAAGAGTCCCGTGCAGGTGTGAGGGACAGCAGCCCCCAGCCCCACCCTCAGACTCTGGAGTACGTGGAGGAGATGGTTCAGAGGGTCCTGAGTCCAGACGAGGCACAGGCCGTCATGAGGCACTGTAAACGGGTCAGTCTGTGTGCAGTAGGCCAGGACGATTTGCTGAACAAAATCTCTATCTGTTATTTTTATTATTTAGAAAATTTCTGTTCCTAACACTTTTTCCCCACCCACTTCTCCTATTGGTTATTCTTTGTAAGGCTCTGAGTGAATGACACCTGGATTTATTCAATTATAGTGAAGTAAGTGTGAAGCGAACTTTCACAAGCAGATTAGTATTACTCTGTTTATCACTTAATGATCCCATGTTACTCAAAATTTACTTTTTAAAGCATGTGCAGTACTTTGGAAACTGTTTTGTTTATTAAATGTGCTATATAAATGAAGTGGATTGGATTGGATACCATGGAACATTCCTGGAAAAACTAAACTCCTAAACTAATCTCCATGAACAAGCAGGTGACAGACCCTCTACCATAAAAGTCACGCAATGCACATTTAAGATTGAGATTAGATCAGCTATGAAGTGACCCCTGATGTGTGGCTCAGGGTCAGACAGGACTCATGCGACCACTTCCTGTTCTGGTGTAATTAAACACGTGTGCTCCTGCAGACAAACTGACCTTCTCAAATACATTAATATTTCATGAGCATCATAAAGAGGAGCAAAGGGCTGTGAGCACTAAATACATGAAAACCTTTGTGTAGTGGTACATACAGTTAACATGTTAGTAAATCCCAAAGCAGGTGTAGTGTTTTCATAGAGGTGCTTTAACAAAAACAAGGAGAAAAAGAGAAAATAAATGCATTAATAAATGTACTTTTAAAGGTCCTATATTACACAAAATGGATTCTTGTGAGCTTTAAGTCATGTTAGAATGCTGTTACCTCATCAAACATACCTGGAGTTGTTTTTGTTTTATTCACTCATGTTATTAGGCTGTCTACATCCCAAATGTTCAAGTTCTCAAAGCTCTTTAAACGCTCTGCTCCACTTTATGATGTCATTTAGTGGTAGTTTTTTTTTTAATCTAACATCTACCTTTTACCTTTAGTTTAGTAGAGATTGGCCATTCCAGATGAAAATTTCCAAATTATTCTATTGAAAGTGTATGGAGTTTAAAACATGATGAAGTACCTCCTGTATCACCCCATGGCATCACCAATATGGTGGGAGAGCCTAAAAATTTGTGTTAAACATATGTGAATGAAACAAAACAAAACTAGGTACAGTATGTTTGTGATGAGGAACTAACATTGTAACATAGATCAGAAAATAGCATAATATGGGCCCTTTAAATGATCAGACAGTACCTCCTCTGCCTCATATCAAAATGGTCCTGGGTTCATTTCCTGGTCCATGTGATCATGAAATGTATGTGTGTGTGTAAATAGCCGTCGTTCTGGGGTGCTCTGTTTCCCTACCACTAAACACTAGACACACTAAAACAAATTTCTCTTAAATAATGACCACACTGGTCACTTTTGTTTTTCAGTTTCTATCAGAAAATGTGCTTGAAGATCTGATCCGTCCCCTTCTGGCCATCCTGGACCGTCCAGAGAAACTACTGCTACTGCGAGAAATCAGGTAAAGTAAAGATTTATTGGAGATTTGTTTAAAGGGCCTTGATCTCTGTTATAATGTGTTGCCTCATCGTAAACAAACCTGGAGTTGTGTTTTGTTTCATTCACACATGTTTAACACACATGTCATGTAGTAATACAAGAGACGCTTACTGTCTTTTTAAACTCCACACACTTTTACTAGAATGATTTGGATCACTTCAGTCCTGGAATTGCCAATCCCTACTGAACTAAAGGTAAAATGTAGCTGCCAAACTACCATTTCATGACATCACAAGGTGGAACAGAGCATTTTGAACTTTAGCGATATAGACTAATTATGCAATGTGTGAATTAAACAAAACACAACTCTAGGTATGTTTTTGATAATGTAACATTTTAATATGGCTTAAAGCTCACAAGAGTCAATTTTGCATAATATAGGACCTTTAAAGTAACATCTGAAAATGAAGATGATGTTGACCAGACTCATGTTCCTTAGTATACTTATATCTTTGTATACTTGTGTGTGTATTTGTTTGTGTGTATGTGTGTGTGCAGAATGCTGATTCCCACCTCAGAGCTGAGCCGATTTGACAGTATGGTAATGCCCTTTGAACTGGAGGCGTATGACGTCCTGAAGAGCCGCTCCTGTCAGTAACTCTGTGCTCTATATTAAATCAGTCCATTAAATACACTGCACTTGTGGGTTACATGTAGGCCACGTATTAAATCCTCTTTTCATAACCAGTTGTAGTGATGCTAAACAAAGCCCTGTTGCTTATGAATTAATACATCCTTACCTAGGTTTGCTGTTTCATTTGGTAAAATACACTACCAGTCAAAAGTCTGAACACACAGTCTCAATCAATTATTTTTTTCTTTATGTTTACGATATTACACATTTTATACACATTTCATATATGATGCAAGATATATGGAATTATGTAGTGAAGAAATAATTTAAGTAAGTCAACTGCATTTTTATTATTTTATTTTTTTTATTTAAATCCTCAAAGTAGCCATCCTTTGCTTTGTGGACAGCGCTGCAAACCCCTCGCCTTCTCTCAGTAAGTTTCTTGATGAAGCCTTCAGACATTTTTTTTCTTCACAGCTGTGTGTTTTTCAGGGTCAAGAAATGCAAAAAGTGCAAACCAGGGTTAAATCTATATTTTTTATTGTATTTTGTTTTGTTATGTTACTTATGTGTCATTCATAGAGTTGAAACCTTCATTGAGAATCTTGACAACATAAACAATCATGGAAATAAAGAAGAAAAATGTGTGTTAAAACTTTTGACTGGTACTGTAATGTATATCTGTTCACTTATGTAGGTGACAGCACACCGTTTATAAAATAATAAGTTTTCAATAACTAAAACAGCTGTGCTTGAACCTGTTAACATCTGTGTGATTACATTGTTCTCTACTGTCTTTATGTCAGTGCGGTCTCCAGCTCTGCGCTCCCCTCGCTCTGGAACCCCGCGTCGTCATCTCATCACTCCCATCCCAGGTACACTGCTCTTATTTACTTAGATGGCTTTATCTTTTATTGCTGTACAATCACTGCCAACCACCTATTTTACTATTTCTGATCTTGTCTGTATTCTACAAGTTCACATTTAATTTTTTTCATTTATTATTATTGCTTTTTAAAACCCTTTGATCTTAGCAGAGTGCTGGTACTCCCATTTCCTTTTATATTTTTAGTAACTTACAGAAAAGACACAATTAATGGTATAATGATTATTCTTTTTGCATGTAAAAGTGGATACATTCTGCCTGACCTAATTCTGCATGATTTTATGTCTACTGTACTTTTTGTCTCTTTTGGACACTGGTCATAAATGGACATGTTGATCAAATGGCAAAATTGTCATTTGGGCCTTCTCAAAATTTTTACTATTCTCTTACTCATAAATTTGTTACTTCTTATTTCTTTTTATTCTGCTTTTGTAAATTAAAATGTGTAATTTAAAAACTATTAATTAGATAGATAATTTGTAAAATATAACTAACATAACTTAATTGTCCTAAAAATTATACAGCAGCATGCCAACATGTAAAGTAATGCTGAGGTGGACTGCTTCTATGTACAGTATCTATCATAGGCTTTATAAGACTCAGACCGTTGTGTAATGAGGAGTAATCTGATAGCCTGTCCACATTAGCATCTGGATTAGTGTGAATGATGTCATCTAAACCCCAGCATTAGTTCACTGTGGTGTTTTAGAAGCTCCCTGTAGTGCTGCTGTTGGAAGAAGGCTCTTTAGCACACTTTTCAGAGCTCAGAGCATACACAGGGGTCAGATGTCCTGAGTGCAGGCTTGTGTTACATGTGAACGAGACACAAAACGCTGAGACGTCCTGCACCACAGCTGCACATGAACGCGCCACTTCAGTCAAGTGTCTGTAGACATAGGACACAGTCAAAGTCCCACAGAGACAGTACAGGTGGATAACTGAGGGTCAATGTGCTGTGGTCAGGAGGTCAGGACTGAGACAGGGATCTACTTACTGTACAGTATACACATATAAAATATAAATATAAAACCACTTCAGGCAACCACTTTTTCCTTTGTTAAAGAGGGGGCATTATGCAAAATCTACTTTTTTGAGCTTTCTACCAAGTTGTTCCCTCATCAGAAACATACCCAGAGTTGTGTTTTGTTTCATTCACACATGTTTGAATAACCCTGAATTATTAGGCTGTCTCCACAGCTCAAAATGCTCCGTTCCACCTTGTGATGTCATGCAGTGTGCAGTGGTAGTTTTCAAGTTGACAGGTACCTTTTGCTCTTTTTTCTGTAGAGATGGGCAATTCTAGGGCTGTAATGATCCAAATGATTTTAGAGATGTATGGAGTTTAAAAACACACTGGAGCATTTCCTGTATTACCACATGACATCACGAGGTGTGTTTTCTGTTTGAGAAAAGGTGTCAGCCTAAATATGCAGAGTTTGTGTGTTAAACATGTTGGGATGACATAAAACTCAACTCTAGGTATGTTTTTGATGAAAAAACAACATTATAACATAGATCAGAAAACAGTGTAAAATGGGTCCTTTAAAGGGGGAATACTATGCAAAATCAATTTTTGCAGCTTTTGATCATGTTATAATGTCGTTCCTTCATCTAAAGCATGCCCGAAGAGATTTTATATCATGTCATATATATGTCATCCAAGCCTGTTTGAGTAATTTGGCGATCTCTCCCTGTGCACTATTAAAACCCTCCTTAAATTATGGTTAATAGCAGTATGGTCCTGCTTGGCAATCTTATATAAATGCAAAATTATGATACAAAAAAAACAACAACTTCATAAACCTGATACAATGTGCAGTAGTTTCATTAATGGGATGCATGCTGATTGTGTTGTGATAGCACTGAGTAGTATGAATAGTATTCCTGGTTATAACTGTGTAATTTTCACAGCCGACATTATTTGCTTTAACACTTATGTATCTGTATCATGTGTTTACAGACTACCAGGGCGGGTTTCACCTGCAGCCCATGTCTGATCCTCAGAGGGAGAGGGAGCTGGTGGAGGAGCTGGAGAGACTGCGTGTGTCCAGTGCCCAGTCTGGCCCCGCCCCGTCTCGTCTCTTCACCCCTCTGCTGGACATCCCCGTGGACAGCTACGGCCGCTCACGCTCCCTCAGCCCCTCCCCGACCCCCAGCCTTCTACACTCGGACTCTGCCTACAGCTCGTACAGGGGCCAGCCACAGCACCCCCCACAGCGCAGAGAAAACAGTGCGTTCAGGACTTATGAGCGCATCTCTGCGTCAGACCAAAGGGAGAGCTTTCACGAAAGGGGGCGCTCTCCCGTAAGAAACGCTCGGGGCAGGACAGTCAGAGAAGTCAGTCCCGACCAGGGTATCCAGGGCACATACACGGGGTATACGGAGGTGAACCTGCACGTGCCCTGCCCGCGCAGAGAGAGGACGCCCATAGCACAGGTGTTTGAGCCGCAGGGAGATGCCAGGCTAGCAGGGGGCAGAGAGGAGGTCCCAGTGGTAAACGGACACTTACTACAGGCTGTTAAAAAGAGCCCTCCTGTTCTGACTGATGATTATGACATCACGACCATCACCATCCCCAAAGCCAAGCAGTCTCTGGGTCAGTACAGCACAAAACAGCAGACACATACTCTACTTCATTTAACTTGCTATATTACGCAAAACTGAGAGTTGTTAGCGTTAATCCATATAAGACTGTTGTTACCTCCTCAAAAACATACCTAGACCTGTGTTGTGTTTCATTCACCCATTTGTGTAATCCTGCATTATTAGTCTGTCTATATCTCCAAAGCTCAAAATTCTTTGTTCTAATTTGTGATATGTATGGAGTTTAAAATCACAGTGGAGCACTTTCTGTATTACCACATGGCATCACAAGGTATGTTTTTGATGAGAAAACAACATTATAATATACTTCAGTAGGTAGTAGTTCAGGGTTGTAACGATATCCAAGTCTCATGAGATGATATCATCAGGGTATGAACCTCATGGTATATTTATTGCGATAAATAGCATACCGTGGGAAAGCTAACAATACGGTGGGGAGGCTCACGATTAGGGGATGTAACAATATCCAAATCTCTCAGTACAATATTTTCAGGATATACATCTCATGGTATGATATTTATTGCGGTATTTTATGGAGGCTAACAAAACTGTTAATACTTTTTCCTCTTAAAATGCCTTGACAAGACTTAATCCAAAGAATTTAGACTTAAATGTGCATAGAACTGCTATTTCTTCCAGTAGTCTGCACTAAAATGGAGCAAAAGATCATGGTCTAGTGGTCTGTAGTTTCCACTGTTTTTTTTTAGCTATTGCTGCACCATAACTCTTAATTTAAGCAAAGAGACTTGATTCGATATATTGTGCTGGTCCACGATATTACTGTGAGAACTTAATATCACGATATTTCGGTTATTGTTACATCCCTATAGATCAGTAAATAGCACAAGAGGTGAGTTGGAGATACTCTGTACCCTGACGATCATAAACTAAAGCAAAGGGCATTTTTGTCATTAACATTAATACACAGTTCGTTTTAGGTCTTAACCACATTTAAATCAGGAACAAAAATTGCTGAAATTGCTGAAAGATTATAGTGCATATTTTGTACATTTTAACTAATAAATGGCATATCTTTCTAAAATCATCCAATATTTTTTGAATTCTGGAAGTAGTTACACATGTGTGTTACTTCTTTTTCACAACCAGCAGAGGGCAGTACTCACCTTTGCGTGAGAGCACACGGCTGGATGCTCATAGATTATGGATTAGGACTATGAAATAGACACAGTTTGTTATTGATATCATTGTCTGGAGTGATTTCATCTTGTATTATTCATTCTCTGCTCGTCTCTACAGGAATTAGCATTTCTGGAGGCATTGAGTCCAAGGTCCAACCCATGATCAAGATTGAAAAAGTCTTTCCAGGCGGAGCTGCATCCACAAATGAAGCCCTCAAGGTACGAACTGTGAACAAAATGTACTCCTAAAAATCATTATAATCACATTTGCATAATTAATACTTTGCCAGGCTACCAAAACAAGGCTGAAGTTGCACGTGCTCCTTCTCGTGCTATGCTAATGAGCTGTTGTTGTGAGAAGTGAGTTTTTAAAGACAGAGAGGTGGAGGGAGGAATGGAGAGATGAGTAGAGGAGAGTCTCAGATATCACAGGCCCTACATTATTGATGAGTACACGCTCAGAGGACTGCTAATGTATTGGTAATGTCTATAATGCCTGTGCAGTATTTTAAACAGGGATGTTGGCTGGGCTGGTTCAAACACAAGCTTTATAAAGTTAACCACAGAGGAGGTTTCTGAGCCTGAGTGGAGAGTGGAGTGTAAGAAGTTGAGTATGAAATATTAACATTATGGTGATGTACATTTGTGGCTTTGTACAGAGTATGGTTCTCAAAAATATTGAAAATTAGATAATAATCTATACTAAAACTAGAATCGAAACTTGATAGTCTTTTGAACAGATACCGATACTAAAATTTTTTTGACCACATAGACTAGTATACATGGTAGGTTCCATACCTACCTCAGTCATCCAGGTAGGTATGGAACTTACCTGGATGACTGAGGGATTATACAGATATAGGACCACATGGGAGAAGTTCAGTTTGTCAACTGGTTAAAAGTTTATTTTGGTCAAATACATTTCGCAGCTAATTCAAGCTGCTTCTTCAGTTCTGGTCAAAATGCTGGAGGACATTGCTTTATATCTGAATGGAGGAGCTAACTACACTGATACTACTCTGAAACACATGGACAACTGAGGAATTTTTCACATAAAAGAAAATATTATAATTTAATGCTGAAAATTACTTTCTATCTATTCTTTAGTAACAAAATCTAGTTTGAAATGTTAGCATAGTACTATTAGAATAAGTTACAAACATTTGCCATATATTTGTGATACTGCATCATGTAACTTTTTGAGGTGGAGTATAAAGTACTTGCTTTTCTCCATGGAGTTGCTAATGATAAAGCTTTACTCAAACATGCGTGATTGAAACAAAATACAACTCCAGGTATATTTTTGATGAGGAAACAACTTTCTAACATGACTTAAAGCTCACAATATTGTGTAATACAGGACCTAGAAAGGACCTATAGGATAGGAAAATCAGAGTCACTAATAACCAAAAGCTGGAATGCCTTGAAGTAGTTTGTGTTTTCGTGGCTGCGTATGTTCAGGCTTAATAACAGAAGGAACATTCGGTACATCGTTAGCGCTAATGAGGCTAAAATAAATTGAATTCAATGTTCAAGGAGCTTCAACAAAATGGTTACTGATATGAACAGGCTCCAGGACAAGAATCTATACTGAAAACATCATCAACAGCATGTACTTTTTCTGTTTTATGAAGTATAATTCAGTCTTGTTAAAATTAGCTGTGGTGAGGTTTAAGCTGTGCTAGAATGTTGTTACCTCCTCATCAAATACCAGGAGTTGCGTTTTATTTCATTCACATATGTTTAAGTAATCCTTTTTTATTAGTCTCCAAACCTCATAATTTTCATTTCCAGGTTGTGATGTCATGTAGTGGTAGTTTTCAAGTTGGCATCTCCCTTTTACCTTGTGTTTAGTGGAAATTGGGAATTCTATGGTTGAAATTATCCAAATTATTTTAGTGAAAGTAAATGGAGTGTATGTTTTAGCACGTGACATCACAAGTGTTTTGCTACTGCCTAATTTAGCAGCTCTATTTGAAATGTGGTTGTGGACTGAGTTTAGGTGTTAAGTCCCACTTTAAATACCAACCTATGGAACATTCCAGACAAAACAATAACATCTTCATAGAGAAGCAAGCAGCATATGCCACCACCAGAAATCTTCATTATGGCACCCTTAAATAATAAGAATAAGAAGAATGCATTAGTCTTTTATAGCGCTTTTAAAACCATACCCTGAGTTGTGTTTCGTTTCATTCACACATGTATCAGACTGTTTACATCTCCAAAGCTTAAAATGCTCTGTTGCACCTTGTGATGTCATGAAACAGTAGTTTTAATGTCAGCAGCTACCTTTTACCTTTAGTCCAGTTGAGATTGGCAATTCCAAGTCTGAATCATTCAAATAATTGTAGTGAAGGTGAATGGAGTTAAAAAAAAACCCACAGTATTACCACATGACATCACATGGTGGAACAGCCTGTTTTCAGTTGGGAAGAACTCTAAAAACATTTTTTCCCAAAGACTGAGTCGTGACCGTCAGGTGGGTCGCAAGAGATTTTTTTGGGGTCGCCTTGTCACGATCTGCATGTATGTACATAGTAGATCTCCGTGCACCCCCCTGCTCCGCTCTTTTTCAGTAGCACCACCTTGCTTAACCAGTTTTCTGTGGGAAACACTGATTACTGTTTTTCATTGTTTAAAACTTGAGTAATACTAATTGTTCAAAGAGACACGATCACTCAGTCAACAATAAAATATCCTCATTAATGTTCAATAATGGTCACACATTTATTTTGTGATTTACGAATAATGTCTATTAACTTGGGTCGCGAATGTTTGTGACTTTTAAAATATGGGTCCCCAGAAAAAAAGTTTGGGAAACACTTCTGTAAAATATGCAGGGTTTATGTGTTAAACTTGTGTGAATGAAAAAAAATCACTACTCCAGGTATGTGATGATATCTTAGTGAGGAAACAACATTATAACATAGATAATATGGGCCCTTTAATGAACACAGGTACGACATTCTAACACTGCACGCTATAAAAGGAGCATTACCCAACCTACCCTGCTCCCTTTTACGCAGCTGTCCCATATCTATGCACCTCTCTACTCTGTCTTATCTGTCCTGGAGGAGGGGCCAGTGCTGTGTTAAACATGTATCCTCCTGTCCGGTCTGCTCTCATGATAACACAGTGGATAACGCACTATCTGCTCCTGCCATTGTCTGAGCATGTGCAGAGTCTGGCCCCGGATTACACTGTCCCTTCTACACTCACGCTCTATCTGCTAAAGTGTCATGCGAGGACAAACATTAGGCCTGCACCGCAAAAGGACTGCACAATATGAACGCTAAGAAAAGACTGTAGCAACCTGCAATAATGTAAATGTTAAAACCTTGTTCGTGTCTTTATAACTGTTATAAATTTTACGTTTTATGTTAAGTTCATGGCCATACGTGATTGGATAAAAGTTGGGAGGGGGCTGGGCTTGTGCGAGGGACACCATAGAACTGTGTTAAGAATAACGGCCGAAATAAGTTGGTAATTCTGACATCGGAGCACGGTCTGAGTTTGCGCAGGTCTTACCTGACTGTTATGGCTAACAATAACCAATTCATTTCTTACAATAAGGAGACATGTCAAACTCAGGCCTGGGGGCCAAATTTTGCCCACGATATAATTATATTTGGCCCGCGAGATCATATGTATTAGAGCTGCCTGTCGGCTACAGATAGGCTATAGAGACATTATTTATTTAAAATTTTGTTATTATTTTATATTACGCTTGTTCTGGATTCAATGTATTGAAAATATATTGGCCCACGACTTAGTCCCAGTTTTTAATTTTGGCCTCTGTGAATTTGATTTTGACATCCCTGCAATAAAGCAACATCTTGTAAACTATTCTTGCCCATGCATTACCTACAGTTAGACGCTACAATGTCATATGGATCAATACAGTATCAGAACAGAAGTCAGAGGGTTTGTTTCAATGCGTTCAATGTTTTTCTTGGGAATTTGTGTGCATGAGTGAGGGAGAGTTAACTATTTGTGGTCAAGGACAAGCAGATCATCTGGAGTGTAAGGAGCATTACCCAGCCTGCCCATAGACTGTATTTATAAATGGACATGGTACTAAGCTGCTAGCTGCCGCGTTCCAAATAGGAAGTGAGCATGGGGGTGCTTCCAGCTTCATCAATGCTCGCTCTAGTTCATTTTGTATTGAAAAATGGTCACCTCTCTCTGTAACTTCTGCTGTCAGGCTCCTCATTTTGGTTTACGTAATCCTGGTGTTTTTATTTCACTATTTTGTCTATAAATCAATTCCTATTCCTAATATGTAGCTCCAAATTTGACCTTATAACTGTCAGCCTTGGTGAGCTTTATTTGACTGGAGCCGAACGCTATGGGTGACGTCACACTCCCTTAGTCTTCTTAATACAGTCTCTTACACTACCCGTTTTATGAATTAAAGGGGCTGTACCAGATTTTTATGTGATAAAGCAAAATGTAAAAATATATTATCTAAAAAGCAGTTCTTAAGATCAAAATGAGATTGCTACGTGCTGTGCTGTCTTCGCCTAATTATAGTGGGGTTTTTTTATCATCCGTGAATGAGGAAGTGAGGCTGGTGCAGTTTAGCTTGCTAGTTGTTGTTACCATTACCATGATGTTAAAACTCCACTCTGGTCTCTGGAAGATGTGAAAAGTGTTAATAAACTCATTGCGGTGAATCATTAGGATGCTGAGAATGCATTAGGGGAAATAAGTTTGGACTGCTGCAAACTGCAATGGGGGCAGCCTGTATGGACTCTCAAATAGCAGTTACTTTACAGAGAGAGCTGAAACCGAGCTTGGACCACTTCACAAAACATGAGCCATCTTTATGAATGAAAAAAGATGCAAACATACCAGTGATAGATACAGATTTTAAACGTGTCTATTTGCACATTGTAAATCTCATCTCCCCCTCAGACTGTGGACTGGCAGCAGCTGCACTGGGTTATTTTTGGTTTGTGTTTCTATTGGCTGAAAACAGGAAGTGGATGAGGCAGATTAAACTGATCTGTTTAAGTCAAATTTTAATCTGCCGTTTGGTTAAATGGCTCTGAATCTGGTTTACACTATCCTCCTGGGAGCTTTGATCATGGCATGGCTTTATTAGACGTCTGGGCTGAATATGAAACACAGATAAACCAGCTGCAGTCGGTTGTACAGGTACTCTGCCTATACATGCTCACAGTTAGAGATACCCATACACTGATGTCAGGTTGTCAGGTATTAATTTCTATGGATGATGTCAAGGAAAAGAATTTTAAAATGCAGAATTATTCAAAATAATAATAAATGTTTATGTTTGAGTAAACCAGTGATCTCTCAAACCCTCCTTATGGTTAGATGTAAGATTCTGTGCTATAGGCTCTATTCATGCTTACGTCACAAACCAGGAAAACGCTTGGAAAGATGCAATTACAACTTCCCAGGCCCAGTTTTCCTCATCTCCATGTCATTGTAGCGTTCCGTTATGTTTGGCTAATCAACAATTACAACCACACCTCAGTTTTCATCATTTCCCCACTGACACACAACTCCAAGCGCACTGGGTACATGCAATTAGAAGAGATGAGGTGCCAAATTCAAGATGACCGCTGATCACGTTTACCTCAATGGGTTTTGTCACAGTCGGCAGTAACTACACCAGAAGTTGTAATGGCATCTCTCCAAACGTCTTCCTGGTTTGTGAGGTAAGCGTGACTAGAGGCTATACTAGCGCTCATGCCTATGTCACCTAGCCTGATTCATCAGCCAGTTTCACTTCATTTCACTTTGTAGAAACCGTCTGACCTTGCAGTGTTAGAATTTGTTCGTTCGATGGTAGGCGGGTACTATTTATCATTTAACCGATCGCTGTTATTTGGTAGTCACGTACGCAATGCGCCACTAACGGGGCTAACTGGTATATTAAGCCTTTCCCAAATCCCGTAGGAAGAAGGGCAAATCTTTCCCCTTGATGAAATTCACCAAACATTCTCTTTATTCCGGCTTTAAATCCTTGATATTGAGAATGGTTGACAACACTGAATATATAGATCTTCACTGATTGGCTGGTGCCCGAACTCGCACTTTCAGGGTTTTTGCAAACCGTCTATTGTATTTTGATTCCTGACCTAGTTGCTGGAGAGAAATTAAATTGAGCGGAGGTGCTAGGTGGCACCAGCCTGGCTATATGTCACCCATGCTCCCACACAATTCTCCAGAAACATAAAAAAAAAACTGTACAGAGCAACTTGAAAAACCTGATGTGTTTCATTAGCGGGATGCATGCTGATTATGTTGCAACAGCGCTCTGAAGAAGGAGTGACTTAGCAAGGAGAGCAAAGTGAGGGGGATTCAGAGTGTCAAAAACAAAAATTTTATTAAATCATTCAATACATTGTTTTTGTGAACACAATACTTCAAGTACTAAGCAGCCCCCGCCTTTGCGTAGATTCTGAGATCAGACTTTGACAAGGAGGTTTGGCCACACCATGAAACTTGAAAAGAGCTTTCCATACTCTAACACTGCACCTAAAGAGAAAGGAAAGAGCGAAAACAGAGAAAGGAAGGTTGCCATGGTTACAGCTGGACAATACCCACTGGCCTTTAGTGAGTCTGAGCGCACGGGGCAGGTGTATCCTCCGATGACATCACAGGAAGTCCCTCTCCTCTGGGGCTGCCCATTCTCCACTGGTCCCTGGCATCCTGCTGGAAACACGTGCTCCTCACTCTGACTGTGGAACAACCTTGTCCTGAAGGGGAGAGTTTATGTGCGCTCGTGACAAAGGCCTTCAGTGTGAATATATTAAAGTAAGGCTACAGTCCCAAAGCTCCGCCACATAAATCAGACTACTGCACAGGGACACCATAACTGCTCATTTATCAAAGTGTATACAGTATGCTACAGGGACACAGCTCATCTATATGGAAAATTAGCCTATGTTGTCAAATCACAGCTGTTGGAGAAGTTTGTTTTTTTTTAAAGATTTTTATGTTGGGCTGTACAGAACATCTAAAAATCCTTAAATTAATCATCATTTTTTAAACTGCAAAACATAAATAAATAGGGATGTAACAATAACCGAAATATCGTGATGTCATATCGTCAAAGTTCTCACAATAATATCGTGGACCATCACAATATATTGAATTGCAAGTCTCTTTGCTTGAATTAAGATTTATGGTGCTGTAATAGCTAAAAAAAAGACAGAGGGAACTAGATAGACCATGATCCTTTGCTCTGTTTCATTGTAGACTACATGAAGAAATAACAGTTCTAAGCACTTTCAACTGTTAGTTCTTTAGATTAAGTCTTGTCTCCACAAAATATCGCAATAAATATCGTGAGATGTATATTGTGAAAACATCGTCCTGAGAGATTTGGATATAGTTACATCCCTAATCGTGAGCCTCCCCACCAGATCGTGAGCTTTCCATGATGTCACAATAAATATTGTACCGTGAGGTTCATACTGTGTCGATATTGTATCGTGAGACTTGGATAGAGTATTTCCTTTGTAAATATATCCTATTGTAAACACCTACCATCCACAGCGAATTCTACGCATATTTAAAAGTCCTATATAGATTTTTATGAGCTTTAAGTCATGTTATAATGTTACTTAAGAAAATACATACCTGGAGTTGTGTTTTCACATTCACACATGTTTGAGTAATCCTGTCTGTATCTCCAAAGCTCAAAATAACAGATAACAGATATGTTATATGTTGTAATAAAAATTCTACATACCTTGCTTTTATCTCCATGTCTTGTTTTTTTCATTTACAGGCTGGATACGAGCTGTTGTCAGTGGACGGAGAGAGTCTGCACAGAGCTTCTCACCAGCACGCAGTCAACGTCATACGCCGATCCTTCAGTAACAAGGCCAAAGACCCCATGATCTTTGTGGTGAAAGTGCCGCGGGTCCCCAGCACCGCAAAGAGCCCCCGGAGTCCTGCACACTGACCCCTGCAGGCCTCTGTACGTCACTGCACACGAGTCCTGCACACTGACCCCTGCAGGCCTCTGTACGTCACCGCGCACGAGTCCTGCACACTGACCCCTGCAGGCCTCTGTACGTCACCGTGCACGAGTCCTGCACTCTGACCCCTGCAGGCCTCTGTAGGTCACTACACACAAGTCAGGCCTCTGTACGTCACTGCGCACGAGTCCTGCACACTGACCCCTGGAGGCTTCTATGTCACTGCACACGAGTCCTGTTTACTGACCCTTATGTCACTGCGCACGAGTCCTGCACACTGACCCCTGCAGGCCTCTGTACATCATTGCACACGAGTCCTGCACACTGACCCCTGCAGGTCTCTGTGCGTCACTGCATACAGCACGGAAAGGACACCCAAAGGTGCTACTGCTGCATCAGGGGGAGGATGGATTGGTCCCAGGAGAAGACAGTTACAAATGGATTTGACTTTTATATGATTTTTTTTTTAGCTTTTGCAGTATTTTATTATAGTATTGTACATGCAGATTAAAATTTTCTACTCTTATGTGTTTTTGTAACAATATATGTACAAAAAAGACAAAGCATAGTTTTTTAAAAGGTCTGTGAAACTCAGTAGTTTTAAAAAATCACATATTTTGTCATCTAGCCTGACAGTTCTAAAATGATTATGTTATTAACCCTGTTTCATAGTCAGTTTGAATGGTAATTTAGGATTGAGATAATAACCTGCTTCTTAAGTGACTAGGCAGCTGCAGAGGTAGTGAGTCATGACTGGCTGCAGGTGCTGGGGTTTAGGTAGCGAGGATTCAGATCAGAGAGAGACATTTTACGTTTAACTGGATTTCAGCCCTGAAACTGGCAACCCAAATGATAGACTGATGTGAGGCTCTTTCTGCTTTCTGACTGGATAATCATCTTGAGAAAACCAAATTATAACAAAATGAAGCAGCATGTTCAATGTTTTTGTAAAAACATCAGCATTACAATAACTATCAGGAAAAGCTATTTGATTTGATATTGAACATGTTTACCTCGTATCTGGGGACACAGTCATGTGGATAGTGTTTAAAAATCTTATATAGAGTTTCTTGTGTACTTCTGCAAGGACAACAGAAAAACTGGGCTGGAGCTATAGTTGCATAATATTCTAAAACTAGGCTGTTACCAAACACTATAAATGGACATAGGTAACTGCAAGCTGCCATGTTACAAATAGGAAGTGAACATGGATACACTTCCGGCTCCATCAATTCTGGTTCCAGTTAATTTTATATTGAGAAAACATTACCCCGGTCTCTGTAACTGCTGCTGTCATGCTCCTCATTTTGGTCTCAAAATGTTTGTATTAACCCATTCTACGTGATCCTGGTGTTTTTATTTTGCTATTTTGTCTATAAATCAATTCCTATTCCAAATTCAAGCTTTAACTACAAGCCTCGATGAGCTTCTATTGACTGAAGTCGAATGCTATGGGTGACGTCACACTCACGTAGGCCATTTCTTTATACAGTCTGTGGTTGTTACTATAACAATTAAACTATGAATAAATGTTGAAATAGCTGAAATATGGCATGGTATGTTTTGTTTGATTAAACCAAAATTAAACTTGGATATTGCACATTTTTCCTAAATAATGTGTTAAGGAATGCTCTTTTCAGTCCTTATTGTCAAACACAGTCTCAACATTACAAACCCAGGCCTAGGTCAGTTATCAGTGTTACAGATAAACCTGTCTTAGATCAAATGGAGCCACATGTCACGGCCTCGCCCTGACCCCAAACTACTCTAAGAATGTCAAAGTCGTTGTCTACATATTTTATGTACGGCCATCTGCAGTCCTGCCAGCTCCAGATTACCAGAGTTATAGATTTATGCACAGATTAAAGCGTGGGTTCTGTGTCAGAAGTGATAGTGGGTTTAGCGGATGTCCAGAGGGATTAGACCAAATGCTGCTGAGTATTTTTGTGCACATTGGCAGAGATGTTGGTGCACTAGCTAGCACAATCCGCCACTTTGGAGGCTTAATTACACCATGCTGTGGTAAGAGATTATGGCAAGGCTTCAATAGACTGGACTGTACAGGGAGCAGAGCAGGGCACTAGACTATTCTGCTCTTATCTGAGCAGAAAGAGAGAGGACCAAGCATGTGTCTTATTTACATCTGCAGACACTGGGCTTAAAATACACAAACCTACATACGCATAACAGCACATAAGGCTTGGACATTGAGGCCATGTATCATTTCTCTTTCTTCACTGTCTTTTCCTTGATTCCTCTCCTCGGTCCTCCATTTTTCAGCTGTCAATCAAATGTGTCATATTAAGTGGTGTTCCAAAGAAAACCAAGGAATGAAGGAGTAAACCTGAGGGAGGCTTCAGGAGCAGACATCAGACAAAAGAATCAGACTTTATTGGTCTCAGCGATGAGTTTATATCCTTTCTCCTCGCTGTGTTTCCTTTGTGAGTGGGACTTCCTCACCCATTTCCTGCAGTCGAGGAGAGAAATCAAGGAGAAAGAGGCGAGGAAAGAGAAATGAGATGCTGACTGGGCTTTAAAGTGCCTATGACAGGTTGAACTACTCATTATTCTAACAAAGCACACTTAAGAGCATTGTATTTCAGATTTTAGTAAAGATGTTACCTTGCAGGGTGGCTGGGCCGGTGTCGGCGGCAAGGTGGGGCATTTGAGGGCCGTGCCCCCCCTAGGGGCCACTGGTGCCCCACCCCCCAGCACAGGCCGTTATTATTACTATTTAAAAATGATTTTGATTGGCGCATTTCACTTCGGGCTGAGGGCACAAACTTTAGCGTCCAGACCAGACCAAGTCTCTGTTTATTTAGTGTAGTGTGATTGGACAGCTGTCCTGTCAGTCACGTCACGTCACGTCAACCTGCTGTCAACTGTAGCAGCTTCACGATTAGCGGCAGCTGCTACTTTAGCCTAAAGCTCCACACAGGAAATGGCGAAGACAGAGTCAAAGACACACTGACAGACCCGCTGCCGGGACCCGGGGCTGTCGCTACCGCTGCCGGTGCCGGGACAGTCGCTGCCGGAGCCGGGACAGTCGCCGCCGGGACACGAGACAGTCGCTGCCGGGGCTGGGGCAGTTGACACCGGGCCGGAGCTCTCGCTGCCGCCGCTGGGCCAGGCAGGGGATAAAGTCTGTCCGCCTTTGCCCGTTCGTTTTTGGGTGTAAAAGTTTGTCCTGGGCGTAGAGCAGAGGGATAAATCTACCTGGTGTCCTAGTGCAAATATGGACTGGGGTAACTTTCAGATTTAAGTAGTAAGTGGGATTAAGTTTTAGTTTTACAACCAGCTCGTGAATTCGGCCCCCGGACCTCGCGTCACGGACCTGACTGGACCGGGATTTGGACCAGTTTCATCTCTTCATATTGGACAATAGACTTTTGGAGACAGAACCAGTGGGACAGTGGGATAGAGGAAACACTCAGCTTCAGTCTCTGGAGAAGGTAAGAGGCTTGTTTTCATTAGTTTGGGGCAAATCTGAACATGTTAAATAATGTTAATAGTTAAATAGTGCGTAAATGAGCTGGTGGGTGCGGTGGAGCTGCTCTGGTTGTCTGGTTGTCGTGTGTTCATGTTGTGACCAGAGCCTCTTATCTTATTGTAGTTTTGATGACGTTGTTGGGTCTGGGTGTGAGCGGCGTGTTACATTGTGTTGTTGCGTAGTTTGTGCTTGGCTGTTCATTGTGCTCTGATAGATATAGTTCAGCCACTAGTAACCAAAATATTCACAATATATATTTATAATTTTGGCCTTTGTGCCCCTCCCAAAAATTATACCACCATTTTTTTTTTTTTTTTTTTTAATATATCTTACATCAGGAGAAGTGTGTGGACGACATACCCTCGCGTACCAGGCCCACTACAGCCCTGGTGCTGCCCGATGCGTGGCTATTTCTTGCCCGATTGCTTTTTTCAGTGATGTTGTTCAGGAGTGTTTTTGGCGAGAGGCTGTTGTTTAATGTTTACAACCAGTGGCAGACCTTGTTGTTTTTTAATAAACCTCAACCTTTTATTATTGTCTTGAGTGCGTCTACCACACAACCTCAACACCTATTGCAGCTAATAATAATAATATTCATAATAATGATAATAATAACAACACATAATTAGCCTTATACTGTTAAAGAAAAACGTGTTTGATAGTTAATTTCTGCTTTGTATGACTCCACCGCGTTAAAATATTTCTCAAATGGCAGTGCCCCCCCTGCTGGTGACCCACGCCCCTCCAGTAGATGTGCTCTGACACTGACTCTGGGCTGGGCGCTTTCTTAGAGCTAGGGTGAGGAGCTCAGTTACATGGGAGGAGCTCAGAGTAGAGCCGCTGCTCCTCCACATCGAGAGGAGCCAGCTGAAGTGGCTCGGGCATCTGTTCCGAATGCCTCCTGGGCGCCTCCCTCGGGAGGTGTTCCGGGCATGTACCACCTGGAGGAAGCCCTGTGGAAACCCAGGACACTAACCCCCCGGAGAAGCTGGAGGAAGTGTCTGGGGTGAGGGAAGTCTGGGAGTCCCTGCTTAGACGGCTGCCCCTGTAACCAGCCCCAGATAAGCGAAAGAAAATGAATGGATGTACCTAGAAATCATGATGTACACTGGGCCAAAACTCTTCTTGATTTTGTTTTTATTTGACAAGTAAAAATATAAGAAAACACCTTTATTTGGTTGAACTCATGAAAAATGTGTTTCTTGCATGTTTCTTGAATTGTAAATTGTGTCAACATTTAGGATACAATTCTCTCTATTGTGATTGCATCAGTGTGGGACTCTCTAAAACAGAACTCTCTCGCTATTCCTGTAATTTTCTAAATATTCTCCAACTTTTGTCCACAAATTACTTCTTGATTGGTGTAAAACTATAATTCATATTTGCAACAGGTATTATCCCCCAAATTAAGTAAAAATTTAAGAATGATCATAAGTATGATCAGAACCTGTCATAAACCCTTTAAAATAAAAATTATAAAATGTCCAGTATGTCAGATTTGAAACAAAAGCAATAGCTTGATCCATTAGAAAATAATAAATATTGTGGCTGCACATAGCAGTGTGTCTTTATTATTTAGTCCGATCACCAAATTTTTTTTTTTTTTTTTTTTGATTGTAGTGGTATCCAGTGGTTCAAACTAAATGATTTCAGGAGTTTCCAGATGATATGGGGAAAAACTAAAAACACCCTTCCAATACTTTCCACATAAGACTAATGTCAGCTTGTGATACATAAAAAAAAAGTTTGGCTTAAATATATATCTTTACCTTCTATCTTTAACATATCTTTAACATTTGAAACTACATTTTATGAAATTATTCGAATATTAATCATAACATTTTTCTTCCAGTGGATTAGACAGTTTAGACTTAGACAAACTTTCTTGGACACAGCAGCTCACACATCATAATATATCACAATAATCAAGAGTAAAAAAAGTAAAATTTAAATTCTAAATAAGTAGTGATAAAATAGCAAGAGACTGCTGGTCCAATAAGGCTTAATTATATAAATGTACAAGTACAAGTAAAGTAAAAGCTTGAATGAATTTGAAAGTGAGAGGCTACCAAGAAACATTTAATTTGGAGTCCAGAAAAAAAAAAAACTGAAATACTGTATAAACAACAAAAATATTGTAATAAAATTTTTTACAAAATCATAATTAATTGAAGTAGTGATTATTTAGCAGTAGCCTAATTGCAGTAGGGACTGGTTGCAAAAATGCTAAAAATAGAATGGGACAAGACTAACACTTAAATATTTAAACTTAGTCAACAAAATAAATGTCCAGTTAAAAAGAAAGAAAAACAAACCACACTTTTTTATGCTGTGACAACTTGTTTTAATTAAAAACACAGTCATTATTTGTACAAGAAATATACACATAAAAATATACAGAGGACTACAGAAGAGATGAAATGATGAACAGACTGATGAAGAACAGAAAAATGCCACAGAAAAAAAGAGAAAGAATCGTCGCTTTGGTCTAGTCACAGTGGCTACATTTGAAATATAGATCTTTGTCTAAATAAAATACAATGTCAGCTTTCATATACTATTTGAGTGTTTTACATATTTACACATATACTTCAGATGCACACAGTGTTTAAGGGGTTAAATCTGATGATTAATACTCAAATAAGTACTGTGCTGCATCTGTAACAGTCTATTTGAGGTTAGCATTAGGAATTAGTTCAGTTTGTGCCTTAAAGAGACAGTGCTCTATTTTTACTATAACTTTTTCCAAATTGGGAAGTTTTAGGATATCAATGTAACTTTTCTATTTAGGGGTGCTTATTTTGGTTTGTTTGGAATGTTCCACACTATAGCATTAAACGTATGTATCTTGCAGTTATTCAGTTATTTTATTGCTTAAAATATAATAAAAATGTGCATTCCTACTGAGATCTGACCTGTAACTTGGCCGCCATGCTCATCTCAGTGAAGATAGAAGATCTACTAGTGTTGTCAAAAGTATCGAAAATCAGATACGAATCGATACTGAAACTGATATCAAAACTAGGTACTTATTTGAGCAAGTATCGATATAAAAAAAAAACACACATTCACAGGATAGAAATTAAGCTTTCTGAATAGCTTTAAAATGATTTTGTATTAGATGTACACAGATATAAAACTACATGGAAATATAAAACAAAGTACTATTACTTAAAGCTGAAAATCACATTCTATTGTCTAAATAAATTGTGTTTTTTATTATCATTGCGGTCAGAGGCAGCGCTACCATTAGGCAAAAGGAGGAGGCTGCCTAGGGCCCCCAAACCTGGAGGGGCCCCAAACCAATTCCCCTCAGTGCCACTAATGGCCTGAGAGCAATTTGATTTTCTCTCAATATGACATGACGTGAGAGTAGTTTACTTTTAAACAATAATGATGAGAAAAATAATAATAATCATATATAATGGATGTTAAGAAAAATGTAATTGTAGTAGCTTCTTTCAGCTCTGGTTTTCTAGTGGGGGACCGAACAAACAATGCAAGTTTTCAGTCTACCCTAATTCAGATAAATAGAGATGTGCATGTCTCAAAAACAATTGGGAAAAACAGACAATAAATATATTTAAAAAACTAAACCAAACACAAAATGGTGCATTATAGTGAGGGCCCCAAACTCAAGTTCACCTAGGGCCCCCAAATTGCTAACTCCACCACTGATTGCAGTATCGGAATGAGTATTGAGTATCAAGTGTATTGCCTAGTACAAAAATCAAGTTTGAAATTTTTGTATCGTGACAACACTATGCCCTATTATGGAACATTCCAAGCAAAGAAAAATCTACACTGAGACAAGCAGATGGCAAGTCCTTCATATGAAAAGTTAAGTAGTTTATCTTTAATTTGCTTCTCAAAATCCATAACAATATTTGGCATTCTAGTCTATTCTAAAAAAACATTGTCAATTTGAAGCACAAACTGAAGATACAAGATGTTATTATATTTCCATCCACGTCGACTTTCCAAGGCTTTAGTTCAACATCTGGAGCAGCCATTTTGAATCTCCACAAACCACAGAGAAAGTGGTCATCACATGCACAGGACCAAGCAACCTGATCATTATTAAGAATACTTTTTCCATATTTAGAAGCGTTTTGTTGACCTCTCAGAGAAGAAGAAGTCCCTCATGCATTTACTAAACATATGACGTGCACAACAATGAGAAGTGGTATTATGATGGATATGAGAGGTCACTTAGAATAGAGAGTGTGTTTGAATGTCTGTATATTATCTGGCAACCTTCAGACTTTGTACTAAAGGGCCCATATTACACTTCTTTCTGATCTATGTTATGTTTCCTCATCACAAACCTGGAGTTGTATTTTGTTTCTTTCACACATGTTTAATGCACAAACCCTACAGATTTAGGTCTTCTCTCAAACAGAAATTGTGTTTTCAAATTCCATACATCTTCACGAAAATCATTTGGATAATTAAACCCAATGTGTTTTGAATGAAACAAAACACAACTCCAGGTATGTTTTTGATGAGGTACCAACATTCTAACATGGCTTAAAGCTCACAAGAGTCAATAAAATCAATCTTAAAGAACTGTTTTCTTCTCAACCATTTCTTTCTCTTCACTTGCCTCAGCATAGGTCAGCAGTAGATCTTTCACCTTTCTGCTCATCAATATGCAAAACAACATACACTTCTGATTGGCTGTAACAGTGTTTTAGGGCTGCTTGGTTTTATGTTAAACTTTGCAATGTCCAAAGCTCAGATTAAAGTCTAAACTGAGTAACAAACCTTCTTACAGAGTAGTGCTTTCAGTTCGCTTCACAGCCTGCAGGAAATGTAGATGACATCAGCTGCAAAGTATCAACAGTTGAAATTTTACTGTTACTTATGGCGCACATTTTAAAAGATGGCGATTATTTATAACTAATGTGGCATAATATAACTTCACCGATATATTTTCTTGATAAACCGTTTCTCATTGCAATCCAAAAACACTCACTCACCATTCACAGCTCTCTTCAAATCTTAAAGGTACACTGCGTAACTTTACTGGTAGAGAGTCCACCACCTCTTCATATTTATGACGATGTTATTGTAGCCAAACTTGCGCCACCTAATGCCTCCGCTCAATTTCATTTCTCTCCAGCAACTAGATCAGGAATCAAAATACACTAGATGGTTTGGAAGAACCCCGGAAGTACGAGTTTGGGCACCAGCCAATCAGAGAAGAGCCATATTCTGTGTTGGCTACGATTCCCGAGATCGAATATTTAAAGCTGGAACAAAGAGAATGTTTGGTGAATTTTACCAAGGGGAAATACTTTATTGCCCTTCTTCCTACGGGACAAATTCTAATGCTGCGAGGTCAGACGGTTTCCACAAAGTGAAACCGTTTGATGAATCAGGCTAATGTTATTGCTCTGGACTGGAATGTTCTATTATGGTGCTGCAAGTAGGGCAAGTTACAGGCCAGATCTGTGCAGAGGCAACCCCAGAAACAATAAGAATACATGTTTTCAAGTTGTTGTGTTTTTTTTGTTTTGTTTTTTTTTGTTTTTTTTTTTTTTCAATTAAAAGACATTTGAAGTAATAAATGCTACAGTAATGCTATCCTGTGTAACATTTCAGGCAATAAGCAGTAACACCTCGATGGAGACGGACGAGAAAAGTTACGCAGTGCACCTTTAACATATTTTCACTGCCTTAATCTGAATACAAAGTCTGAAAGCAAATGCATCTTCTACTTCTTCTACCATTTTAAGTGACCTCTCATTTGAACAGTTACATGTATGTGATCGGTATAATACTCTTTATACTTGCAGAATAAACCCACACGGATACCGGTACTACAACAAAATAGCTTGAGCTGCTATAGAAAAATATACAACATTTCCTCCATTATATAGAATACCTTTACCTTCTCCATATAGACTCTCTTAGTAAAATAAACTGTTTCCCCAGAACCATCAGTGCATTAAGTCGCCCCACTCGTTCAGTTACAAAAACATGCAAACGTGCCGACCTGCTACCTTTAAAGAGGGGAGCAGATTAGAGGAAGACATCTCAGGGGGCTGCTAAAAGATTAAGAGGAGGAAGAAGAGGAGAAAAAGGAGGAGGAGGAGGAAAAGCAAGAGGTGGTGCAGGAAGAGGAGAAGAAAGGGCAATTCAGGTGGCTGCTAAAAGATTAAGAAAAGGAAGAGGAGGAAAAGGAGGAGGTGGAACTACTAAAAGCTTAAGAGGAGGAGAAGGAGGAGAAGAAGAAGAAGAAGAAGAGAAAAAATAGGTGGTAGAGGAGGAGTAAGAAGAGGAGAAGGATGAAGAAGAAAAATAAGTGGAGGAGGAGGAAGAATAAGAAGCTGAAGAGATGGTGGATGAGGAGGAAGAGGAACAAGGGAAGCAGGAGAAAGAGGAGGGAGAGAAGAGAAGAAGAGGAAGTTATTTCAAGGGACTGCTAAAAGCTTCAGAGGAGGACGAGGAGGAGGTGGAGGTGGAAGAGAAGAAGGTACAAGGGGAGGAGGAAGAGGAAGGGTATTTCAAGGGACTTCTAAAAACTGAAGAGGAGAAAGAGGAGGATGAGGAGGAGAAAAGGAAGAGAAGAAAGAGGAAGAGGTGGTAGAGGAGGAGTAAGAAGAGGAGAAGTATGAAGAAGAAAAATAAGAGGAGGAAGAAGGGAAGCAGGAGAAACCAGGTAGAGGAAGAGAAGGAAAGGAGTAGGAAGAGGTGGAGACATTTCAGGGGGCTGTTAAAAGCTTAAGAGGAGGAAGAGGAGGAGGTAGAGAAGGAAAAAGAGGAAGATGAGGAGGTGGAGGAGGTGGAGAAGGAGGAAGAAGAGGTGGTGGAGGAAGAGGAGAAGCAAGGGCTTTTCAGGGGGCTGCTGAAACCTTAATGGAGGAGGAGAGAGGAGAAGGAAGAGGAGAAAGTATAAGGGGAGGAGGAGGAAGAAGAGAAGGAGAAGGAAAAGGTGGTAGAGGAGAAGTAGAAAGGGGAGAAGGAAGAACAAGAAGAAAAACAAGAGAAGGAAGAGGTGGAGGAAGAAAAGGAACGCATTTCAGGGGGCTGCTAAAAGCTTAAGAGGAGGTAGAGAAGGTGGAGAAGGAGGAAGAAGAGGTGGAGGAGGGAGTGCATTGAAATTCAGGAAAAAAAGCATGCCCACGATTTACGCATAAATGTGTCAGCGCCGGAGACATTTTTAGTTCTGATAGTTTTATAAAAATAGAATCGCTCAGAAGATGGTGCGAGGTGAAGACTGAGGAAGAAGAGAGCAGAAATTCAAACTAAACTGCTTAAAGAGGGAGTATTATACTTCTACGTGGTATTTATTGCTAAAACATAACATATTTAGATCACTATGTTACCTTTTATTGTTAAGATACTATATTCTCCAAAAACATCATATTAACATGTGCATTTCCGCAAATTAAAACAACTGCACATCGCATCAGGTTTGTGAAGTTGTAGTGTATTGTTTTGTATCATTCTTTTGTATATTTATGTCAAATTGCTGTACGGAGAGTTCGAATAGGGCCCGGGAGAGATCACTAAATGAATCAAACATGCATGGATGTCATATAAAACTTCTTCAGGAATGTTTTAATGAGGGAACAGTGTTATAACCTGGTAGATTTAGCGTAATACCCCCTCTTTAATGGTGCACTAATGTTATGTAAATGTAAATCTTAAGAATGCATTGTCTTTTTGTAAGCTGATTGGAGCGGTTTCCTTTACGGTGGCTGACAATAAGAGGAAGTCCACTTTGTAAACGAATGCCAAAGAGATGATTTGTTCCAGAAAAACGGCGGGAAGATTGTTTTGTGCAAATAAATTCCTACGCAAAAAGAAATAAAGATCCACAATAAAGATCCACAAAGCGTGTTTTGGTGTTCCCTTATACACATTGAGCAAAAGTGGTGTATTAAAGTGAAAACGGTTGCAACTGCGTGTAAAAAAAAAAATAAATAAATTGTGTCTCTAGTTAAGTAGTTAAAGGTGTATTGTGTAACTTTTCTGGTGCTTTTTTTCCATGGAGATGTAATTGCTTTGTCTGGAATGTTTCACAGTATGGCATTAAACCTTTATCTTCATGAAGACCATTATTTTTTTCATGAAGACCATTATTTTTGAGCTATAAAAGCACCTGTAATTGAATAAATGTAAGGTAGAGCTGTTTAATGTCATACTATGGAACATTCCACACAGAGCAATGACGTATCCGTAGAAACAAGCAGGTTTGGCACAACCAAAAAGTTACATAGTGCAGCTTTAAGATTAATTTGCCATATCTCAGTTCAGATTAAATTTTTTTGACAAGTTTTACATCTTTGAGTTTTAAAAATGTTAATATAATGAAAGAAATTGCCTATATTTGTGGCACAAATATTGCTGTATTTATCAAAAGTATGAATTCAACTGCAAGTGTAGAATAATAATGTATGTTTACATTTTTTTTTACCAAAATTTGACAATTTTTTAACTCACATTTTCAAGGGTGTGAATTTTCTACAATAATTTATACTATATCTATACGCCAATTCCCCCAAAATATTGAAAATTAAACAAAAAAAAATCCACGCACGTGGAGCTGGCCCATTAGCTTGCAGTTATAATGTTGTTAATGTAGTTTTAATGCTCTTGTTACATACATGCTGGTGACTCTTTTATTCTCCGTAAGTCAGACCGATTCCTGTGCGCTCCTCTTTTTTTTTGCTTTGAGGACAGATACCCTGATTCGACTGTAGCTGGGAAAATAAAGAGTTTTTGTGCTGGTTTTGTGTTAAATACTTGTGTCCGGACAGTTCTACAGTGGTCCAGGTAAAGCCGTAATGGGGATAGTGCAGTTCTCGGGCTTGGGTCTATAGTTTTTGAGTTTTTGGCGTGTGGGGGGCTTCTGTAGCGAGGTCAGATCTCGGTGGCGGTGATCTCCTCGTAGTGGATATCGTTGCTGCCGCTGCGGACCTCGTACTCGTCCAAGTCTCGGCTCTCCAGCTCCAGGCTCAGCTCCCTCATGGCTCTCTCCAGGTCCCTGTTCCTCCGGTACATCTGGATGTAGTTCTGCTGCAGCTGCTTCTGGTAACGGATCACCTGCACACAGACACAGTGAAGAGTTAGAGGATTGAGCTGTACAAGTGTTGTTAAGAAATGGGCCTCATCAATATGTTTATAAGATACATTCTTTCTGAGAGGAAATTTCTATCAGTCTTTCTTAAATAATTGTGGAGATGCTAAGCCAAAAGGAATGATGTTTCTCCCTTACTTCTGACTTTTATCTTCAGTGTTGGTCACCACAAAACATCTCACACTACAAAATTCATTGATTTTCATGTTGGTCCTAAATCACTAAGAATGTTTTTTTATAACACACTACTGACCGAAGAGATATAAGAATAAAATAAAGCAAAAAAGTATTCAATAAAGCAATCGTAAAAGAGGAGGTACTATGCAAAACTGACTTCTTGGAGCTTTCTATCTTGTTGTTTTCCTCATCAAAAACATGCCTGAAGAGGTTTTAAATATCATCCGTGCATGTTTGAGTAATCCAACAATCTAAAATGGAGAATGCAACAGTAGCTCACAGCCCATCTCATACCAGTCCATAAAGTTTGGTGTTTTGGCAAGACCCAATTCCAAGCACTGTTTCTTGGACTGCGGACTGTGTTGGTTGGACCCGCACCACACTCACCCCGCTCCAGAATGTGAGAGGAGCGGCTCTGAGATCACCTGTTTCAAGCATTCTCTGACCTTTTAATGAGAATCACAAGGCCCAAGCCCACCGCTCGCAGAGTGAATGCTTTTTTTTGCATCGTCCTGACTAGAGATAGTGTGGAAACAACCTAAGATAGAACTTTTGAACCCTGATGCATGTACCTTTTCTTTCTCTTCCTGCCACACCCTCCTCTCCTCCTCAAAGCGCGACATCTGCTCCTCACTGGTGCGCCTCTCGTACATCAGCTCTGCCTTCAGTCTTTCAACCTGAAAGCAAAAACGTTAATGTTAAATTACAATTACAATTACGTTACAGAATGTCCTGCTTCTTAAAGGGCCCATATTATGCTATATGATCCATTGTTTCCACATTACAAACATACCTGGAGTTGTGTTTTTTCATTCTCACATATTTAACACACAAATCCTGCATATTTAGGCTTCTTTTTAGAGTTTTTTTCTCAAACAGAAATGCTTTGTACCACCTTTTGATGTCATGTGGTAATACAGGAAGTGCTACACGTCAACACACCAGTAGAATTATTTGGACAGTTTCAGTCCTGTAATGTAATGTAGATGTAGACTAATAATGCAGGATTATTCAAAAACAAAACACAACTCCAGGTAAGTTTTTGGTGTGGTTACAACATTATAAGATGTCTTAACGCTCACAAGAGTCAATTTTGTGTAATATAGGATTCTAAGTTAGGCCTGAGTATATTTCGTAGTATATCTCTTACCTGCTGCCTTAGCCCCAGCACGGCCTCCACACTCTGCCTGTGAGCCTTAGCTTCGTCACTCTCTCCTCCCCAAACCAGATGCCCTTCCTCTCCGTCACGGTACATGGATGGACTGGGCCCGCCCCTCACCCTTTGGCTCTGTCCTTTAGCGTTCCCGCTCACAGCGCTGTGATTGGTCAGTGCTTCCCTTTTCCGTTTTGACTCCTCCTCCAGACGCCCCACCTTCTCTCGGAGCAGTTCTGCCTCACTCTTTCGCCGCTGCAGCTCATTCTCGCACACCTCCAGCTCCAGGGCGCGCGTGCGGAGGGCAGCCTGGGTCTCGAGGGTGCGGGCCTGGCTGGACTGGAGCTCCGAGCGGGCTTCTCTCAGCTGGGCCTTCAAAGTCACGATATCCCCCGCCTTCTGGCTCAGCTCAGACTGGATCTCCTTCAGCTGCTGCTTCAGGAGGGAGATTTCACCGGACTTCTGACACACCTGAGAGGATGGACAGGGGATTTAGTTGGTCTGTGATGAGTAAAAATGTTTTTCCAAGTAATAAAGATGTAGATTGTTTTGTCTTTTACACAATAACACTAAGAGTATAGATTTTTTTTATTTTCAACTTCACACAGAAAAGTTTGCACCACTAAAAAACCAGGGCCTAAATTTTAGATACATTAAGTCTTAATATTAGTCATGAAAAGGGCTTTCTTTCATTACTAATTGTAAACAACAATAAATTACCTAATAAATGAAAGGTTTCCATTGACTTCCTGTTCAAAACTTCAGAACTAATAGACCCTGCCTCTTCAACAACATTTAAGAACTATTAATTTGCTTGTTTTTATGGTTGAAAATTGTGCCAAAAGTGATTTTTAAAAACCCTATATATATGGCCCAGATTTTGGGTCATACAATTTTTTATAATTTTTAAAGTACAGAGCTATAGGCGGGAATAGGGGCAAGGTGAAAGCGTCAAATACAGATTAGTACAGGATTACTTTAATATGCCTGAAATAAATGCAAATACAATTTTAAGTAACCTAATGACAAGGGACCACTGATGGTTAAAAGCTCATAAAAACGATTGTTTTTTTGAAATCTAGAATATGTTTTTTCCATTATCCATGAATCCATTATTCTCTCCCTTCATTGCATTGCTGACCTACAAGTGCATCTAATATTCAATAAATAATTCAAGAATCTCTCATTCTCTTCTCAAGTCTTTCCTGGTTAATAAAGCAACCATTTAGCAAACACATTTAGTCTGATTATACCTTAGCAGTGCCACACCCAGATGTTTACAGTACTTGTGTAATTAGCTTGTCTCGTGTGTCTCTCACCTCCCACTTGGTCTCCTCGAGGCGTGGGCCCAGCTGGGTCTGTTCTCTCTGGATGGTGGCGCAGCGTCGTTCCAGAGTCTCTCTGTCCTGGAGCAGTGACGAGAAGTCCTCCTGGAGCTTCTTCTTCTCTTGTTGCAGCTGGAACACCTGCACACACGCCAGCCATACTGTGAGGCATTCTTCACTACCAGGGCTGTTAAAAGTATTGAAAATGAGATACTAAGGCTAAAACTATCATCAAAACAAGATACTCATTTAAGCAGATAGCGATTCATAGGACAGAAATGAACCTTTCCTGAATAGTTTTAGAATGATCTTGATCTGTATCAGAACAAGTATAAAAACACATAAACACCCATGGACCACTATGGAACCTACCTGGACCACTGACGTATTATTAGTATTATTTAAAACATTGACTAGACAAAGACAATCACAGTCACAATACAACTATTAAAAACTATTAAAAAAGAAAATGTTAAAAAATATACTTAGTGCAGTATACTTTGAGCAGTAGTACTGGAGGAGTGTGTAGTACCTGGAGCTGGAGGACCTGCTGAGCCCTCTGAGCTTTCTGAGACGTCTGCTTCATCTTTGAGGCACAGCTCTGCCTCAGCTCCTCCATCTCTCGCTCACAGCGACGCTGCTTCTCTTCATAAACCTTTACACCAAACAAAACATTCTTTTGGTGAATTTGAATTACTTTTGTATAGTTTAAAGTTTAAAACAAGAAGTAGTCATCATTAAGTCCGTCACAGTATTTACTATATCAACATTCATCCACATCATTCAATAAATAAAAGCTGGAACAATGTATTTTGGGTGATGTCTAAGGCTTTTTGAACATACATAGGAAAAAAGGTTCCAAGACATAAGAAAGCATAAGAAAACCAACCGATGAAGATTTAGAATCCTTATATACAAGGAATTGCAAACATGTTTGAAAAAAAGTGGGTTGAAGTATAAACTTGTAACTTATTGGTTCATTGTCTTATGTATTTGCCGAAGCTCAGGCCTTTTAATGACACTATGACCGTGGTTCAGTTGGACTCACCTGACAGATTGCAGCCTCATTTTCATCCAGGTTCTCTCTGAGCTGCTGCAGCTCCAGGTCTCTCTCCCTCAGTTTGTCCTCCAGCTCTCGGACTACAGCCTCGTATCCCTCCACAGGAGGAGGGGAGTGCCCACAGGAGCCACTGTCCGAGAGGGGCTGCCCGCGCCCACTCACTGACCCCGACCCGGAGCTCTTACTGGAGGACGAGCGCCCGCTGTCTGAGTTTGTGTGCCCATGACTCACACTGCCCCCTGTGGTCCTCAGACCCACCTGCTCCATGGGCCCCCCGGAGCCAGAGCCACAGCCTGACCCAGAGCCCTCACTGGGGGCCAGGCTGTAGCCCGTGCTGCTGTGGGTGGGCAGAGAGGACAGAGAGTTCCTGCCGGAGTCCGACATGGAGCAGGACTGACTGTTACGAGTGTTACGGACCCCATTACACTTGTCCTCAGAGGTTGACGTGGGGTTAGCGGTGATAGCGGAGTTAGCAGAGTTAGCCGTGTTAGCTGTGTTAACAGAGTTAGCATTGACGCTAATGTGCGTGGAGCCTCCCAGGGGCAGCAGCAGGTTCAGACTGCCCTGGCTCTCAGATAGGTTAGTGCCCCCTTGCCTTGGGGCCATGTACTGCACGGAGTGACGATTCTTGGGGACCACAGGTTTGAATGCTGTTGGGCGGATCAGCACTTTCTCCATATTCTGAAATTACAAAGCAGGATGAGAACGATTAGCAACACAGTGAATCAAATACAAATAGAGTACACAGAGTACAAAACAATACTACTACATACTACATAAGAATAAGAATTTAGTTAAATATTGGCGGGGTTCATAGAAAGAACGCAAGAAAAAGTACACATTATGTAAATTGGCAGCTGACAGATTTGTTGCCCCCTTAGCATTGGCTCTTATTTATCTATTTAAATCTTCAAATGTTGAATATATGTCAAGCAAATAAAAAAACACAAACATCCTCCAGCACTAGTTAGGATCAGACTCATTAGAGCTGGGTCAGGGATGTGCTAGTGGGTCATGACTCTCTTTAATTTCCCTTAATTATTCATACGCCTCATTGACAATTTAGTCTGATTTTCCTTTCAATTCATGACAGACAGAGTGATGAGTGAGGGATGAAAAGGAAAGCAGTACAAAGGGAGCACAGAGCAGAGAGAGGATAATGGACCCTGTGTGTGCCGATCCCGATGTTGTCAGCAGAGAGAAGAGTGGTGATTCTGACCAATGGGAATAAACCTCCAATTAGTACTTGTAGGAAGAGATGTAATGTAACTAAAATATAAATCCTTAAATTGGGGTTACAAAGATGTCACACAACTAATGTATCTGGTTCATTCAATCAATAAATGGTATAATTGTCGTTGGCTTTTTTACCTTCAAGCACTCAAAGCGATTTAAATCAAGAAACCACTCACCCATTCACAAATATTCTTACAAAGACACCAGTAGTAAAGTTGATTAAGTGTCTTGCCCAAGGACACAATGACAGTATTCACCTGCATAAACTGGAAACGAACTGGTAACTTGTGGGTCAGGGGAAGAAAATGCCACAAACTGATCTATTGCAATCATAATATTAGACTTGAGTTTGTCAGCCAAGTTTTAGCATATATGTGGGCAGCTTTATATAATGAATAATTTTACTCCAGGTTTCAAATGTTTTGGTTTAGAATTGGGAGTTCCTGGGGGTATTTTGCATGTTTACGTGGCTCTCAAAAAAAAAAAAAAAAAAAATCTCACAAAAAATGAATGTGTTTGTCCAGCTGCATTCCAATAGCTTTGTGTGTACGCTATAATTCAGGGGTCTCCAAAATTTTTCCTCCGGTGAGCTACCATTAAAATACAAACATTCCAGAAAGCTACTAATTTTAGAGGTCACAGGAAATAAAGTATACATAAGAGCCTTGGAAAGACTTAGATGGGGTACAGTTAGAAAAAAACATAAAACATAAACCATTATTTATTCAAGAATGATGGATTTACAGTAATAATAGGCATTTAATCCGTCACATTTGAGTTATTCAGGACAATACGTGTAATTTCAAAATCCCTTGGTGAGCTACTTGGAATGGGGTGGAGAGCTACTGGTAGCTCCTGAGCTACAGGTTGGAGACTCCTGCTATAAATTAAACATTTAAAGGTTCTATATTAGGCAAAATTGACTCTTGTGAGCTTTAAGTCATGTTAAAATGTTGTTACCTCCTCAAAAACAGACCTGGAGTTGTGTTTTGTAACATTCGCACGTATTTCAGTAATCCGTAATTGTCTGTCTACATCTCCAAAGCTCAAAATGCTCTGTTCCACCTTGTGATGTCATGAAATTGCAGTTTTCAAGTTAACAACTACCTTTTACCTTTAGTTCAATAGAGATAGGCAATTACAGGACTGAAATCAACCAAATGATTCTAGTGAAGGTGTGTGGAGTTTAAAAACGCTCTAGAGCACTTCCTGTATTACCACATGACATCACGAGGTGGAACCGTGTTTTCTGATTATTTTCTGAATCAGCTTAAACATGCAGCGTTTGTGTGTTAAACATGAGTAAATGAAATAAAACACAACTCCAAGTATGTTTTGAATGAGGAAACAACATAATAACATAGATCAAAAAATATTGTAATACGGGCCCTTTAAACAGAAAAAACTGAAATTATTCAGAGTTCTCACCTTCTCCAGCTGTCCAGACACAGGGATGAGTTTGGGTGGAGGTCCTCCTATGTTCCCATTGAGGCCCCTGTTGTCCCTCTGCTCCTCTGAGTCTGAACACGGACTGGTCACTGCTAGAACCACGTTATCGTTCCAGTCTCCCACCACCGCCACCTCTTCGCTGTACGTATAGTTCCCATTGGACACCCCTCCCGTAGCCCCCTTGGGTCCTGCTATGGGTGCTGCTATGGGTGCCCCACTGCCCCCACCCGACCCAGCCAAGTTCCCCGACCGCAGATGCTTCTTGGTGGGCAGGGGAGGGGGCAACACCTGTCCCTGAGGCTGGTTGTGATTGGAGATGATCAGCAGCTGTTCCAGGGAGCTCCCACTGCGCAGGGTGCCGTTGTCGGGGAGACGGAAGCAGTTGGTTGCTGGGGTGGATCTCCGGGGTTTGGACGAGAACTCACTGGCGGCGTGGCAGTGTCTCTCCTGGTACGTGCGCCCGGAGATGAGACTGCTCACTGAACCCATGGCTGTGCTGGAGGGGTCAGAAGAGGGGTGAGGGCCAACGCAAGGGCCAGAGCAGGGGCCCGGGGGGGACTGCTGCGTCTGGAGAGGGGCTGCCTGATGCTCAGAGACGGACACGGGGAGCGCCTGAACCAGAGCCATGGCGCCAGGGCAGTGTCAGACGCACCACACACTCTGCACAAACAAGAGAGAGAGAAGAGAGGGTATTAGTTAAAATATGTACAGGTATGCGAAATTTATGACTTTATCTGACGTTAAAGGTTGTACATTACAAAAAATTTACTCTTGCGAGCTTTACAGCATGTTAGAGTATTGCTTGATCTTCAAAAACATACCTGGAGTTGTTTGAGTAATCCTTTATTATTAGTTTGTCTACCTCTCCAAAGCTCAAAATGCTCTTTTCCACTTTGTAGTGTCATGTGGTGGTAGCTTTCAAGTTAGCAGCTGCTTTTTACCTTTAGTTCAGTTGAGATTACAATTCCAGGACTGAAATTATCTAAATGATTCTAGTGAAGGTGTATAGACTTTAAAAACGCAATGGAGCCCTTCCTGTATTACCACATGACATCACAAAGTGGAACAGTGTTTTCTGTAGGGATGTAACAATAACTGAAATATCGTCAGAGTTCTCACAGTAATATCGTGGACCATCTAAATATGATGAATTACAAGTTTCTTTGCTTAAATTAAGAGTTTTGGTGCAGCAATAGCTAAAAAAAAGACAGAGAGAACTACATAGACCATGATCCTTTGCTCCATTTCAGTTTATACTACAAGAAGAAATAACAGTTTTAACACTTTTAAGTCTTAGTTCTTTAGATTAAGTCTTGTGAACGCATTTTAAGATGAAAAAGCAGTATATTAACAGTTTTGTTCGCAGCCTCCACAAAATATCGCAATAAATATTGTACCATGAGATTTATATTGTGAAAATATTGTGTAAATATCGTATCGAGAGATTTGGATATCGTTACATCCCTAATCGTGAGCCTTCCCTCCAGATCGTGAGCTTTCCCACGATGTTGCAATAAATATCTTACCGTGACGATATCATAATGTGAGACTTGGATATTGTTACACCCCTAGTTTTCTGTGTGAGAGAAGAACTCAGATATGCCAAAAAAAAAAGTAGGGTTTGTGTGTTAAATATGTGAGAATCCAACAAAACGCAACACGAGGTCTGTTTGTGATGAGAAAACAACATTATAACATAGATCAGAATATAGCGTAAAATGGGTGCTTAAAAGGAGCCATTTTCATGTTTTTATTACAATCTATATTAAATCTCTCATCTCAATTAATTGGAAACTGAGTAATTCAAAGTATTCAAAAATAGAGCCAAAATGAGGATGAATCCCAGTCCTAAATACAGCATGTCTTCTCTGTGGGGAGTCAGATTATCTGCACTGGCTTACATCTGCACAGCTCTGATTAAACACACTCAAACTCTGGTACCATTCTATCTCCTGCAACAAAAACAAGAATTTAACTATGCAAATGTGAAAGTTGAGTTCAGATGTTTATATAAAGAGTGGGTTTTTATTTTCCCAAATATTATGCAAATTGAAGATTTAATTATTCTCCAACCCACCACCAAATTTGCATATTACCGCCTCAACACTACATGTAAATATACCGTAATGTCAGCAACCTTGATATTGAATTTTGAAAGTTCATAATGTGACTTTGCAGGTGGAGGGTCTGCCGCCTGCTTGTCTCCATGGGGATGTTATTGTTGTTTTACCTGCAATGTTCCGCAGTTTGGCATCAAGCTTATGATAACTTATCCCTTTGGAGACAAGCAGTTAAAGCCAAAAGTTTGTAGAGAAGCGACCTTGCTCATAGTCAAGGGATTTTCTAACACACTTTCATATAAAAACACAATACATGAATGGATAAGTTTAATGACGTATTGTGAAACATTCCAGGTGAAGCAAAAACATCTCCATGGTAACAAGCAAGTGTCGTACCCTACCTTTTATTTATCTATGTTATAATGTTGTTTCCTCCTCACAAACATACCCGGAGTTGTGTTTTGTTTTATTCACACATTTAACACGCAAAACCTGCATATTTAGACTGTGTTTTTCTATCAAACAGGAAACGATGTCATGTGGTAATACAGGAAGGGCTCCATTGCGTTTTTAAACTCCATACACCTTCACTAGAATCACTTGGAAAATTTCAGCCCTGGAATTGCCAATCTCTACTAAACAAAAGTTAAAAGCTAGAGTAATTTGACTAACTAACTTGTTAACTACCACTTCATGACATCACAAGGTGGAACAGAGGATTTTGAGCTTTGGAGATGTAGACAAACTAATAATAGAGGGTTACTCAAACTTGTGTGGATGAAACAAAACACATCTCCAGGAATGTTTTTGATGAGGTAACAAGATTCTAAAATGGCTTAAAGCTCTGAACAATCAAATCCATTCTGTGTAATATAGGACCTTTAAAATGATTTGTCCATGGGGCAAATTTTCATTTCATGCTTCGGTGAAAACAGATTAATGCAAATCCCAATTCTCACTATTATCCATCAAAAGCCAAGCCAAAAAACAGCAGAGTTATGTAAGAGTTGCTACATTGACCCTCTCTATTCCATCGCATTATTCACAGGAAGTGGAGGCAGATGAGGAGTTCCATTTGCGCGTGGTATTATCAGTGAGCTGTAGGGGGCAGCGAGGGGGCACAGTCTCATCCCGCCGTGTCAAACCCAAATCCGTCTGGGCCACAGCAATAATCCAGCAGAGATACCAAAAAGTCTGTCTGCCATCACGCTACTTTAGTTCAACCACAAGTCATAAGTCAGTACATTTATGTAACAGCGCAACAATGGCACTGGAAAATAATATGGCAAAATTTTTAATAATGACCTCAAGGCATTAGGAATGTAACTAGGGGCTGTATAAAAAAGTGGACTGAGGGAGTGTGATGTCACCCATAGCGTTCGGCTCCAGTCAAATGAAGCTCGCTGAGGCTTCCAGTTATAGTTGCAAATTTGGAGAGTTCCAAATCAGGAATAAGAATCGATTTAGGGACAAAATAATGAAATCATGTAGAGTGGATTTATACAAACATTTTAAAACCAAAATGAGACACCTGAAAACAGCAGCTACAGAGAGATGGGCAATGTTTTTTTCAATACAAAGTGAATTGGAGCTAGAGTCAATATAAGTGTGCCCATGCTCATGTCCTACTTAGAAAGCGACAGCTCATGGGTTAGCTATGTCCATTTGTATATACAATCTATTGAAACTGTAAAAAAAAAATGAAGTGATACTGAAAGTTTCACTATATGATGTGCACTACAATATCTTACATGTACAGTATGCTGCTACTACAAAGTGCCTCCCCATTATGATATATCCATGTGATGAAAAAGTAGGGCTGTTGCCATAGCGATTACCAATTTAAAACCTTTTGAATGGGGAAAAAAGTCTTTAGATTGTTGCATATAACAAGATGCTGAAATCCATGAATACAGTTAACACATTAAAATACAATAAATTATAATATAAGTCCATCTAGGGATGTGCAAAAATATCAAAATATCATATCGTTTAATGTGATAATACAGTATCGATATCGTGGGCTGCTGTATCAGTGTATATCACAAGAGTATTTTTTGGTATATTTTACTACATTGTTTTGTTATAGTGCTACAGTTTTGTAGCACGAGGAAACTCGTTTATGTGACACATTTAACATTTTCACTGTTTTGATGATTAAAATGTTTGTGTTTCATATTAACTTTGCACAAGAAGTGGTTTAACAAAGAATTTTAGTATCACAGTATCATTTAGCCATTATTTTTACTGAACCTTATCAAATGGATTTGAAATATATATATATAGTATCAATCAAAAGCTCACTGTATCGACTGAGTATCGTATCGTGGCCTATGTATCGAGGTATGTATTGTATCAGCAACTTATTAATGATACCCAACCCTAATTCCAATCCTATAGCATTACTAGAAACAGATTTTTGCTATTCTCAGTGTGCTGTCAACAATGATTTAAAGGGCTTGTATCCAATTTAGAATCATGAATTTTCCAGACAGTTGTTTGCACATGGCTTTCATTCATCTACACCTAAGATTGAATATAATTACTGATGTCTGGCAGCCGCTTCCTTATGCTTCTCATCCAACAAAATGTCTTTTAAAATCTTAAGTAGTATTATTCACTTTTGGAATACAAGACAAGATAGAATGAGAGGAGAAATAATTTAGGTTTAGTGTAGTTGAACATAATCAAAGTCTTTAATGGACTCTTTAATGGGCTTTAATTTAAATTATCAAAGCCTCAGTAGATAATGCAAGGTATAGTGACTGTGTACAGTGGCAACAACCGTCAAACATAATAAATCTGTTTAGTGCTTACTGACCGGGCAGAGCCAAAGGAGCTGTAAATACAAGTAGGAGTAAAAGTTAATTGTTTTGTAAAAGGACAAAATCAATTCAGCCCATAGGAGCAGAACAATGTAAACACAATTGGCAAAAAAAGACACCACTGGGGACTTTTTAGTTACTAATCGATCTGTATTATGTCACCAATCTATCCAAAACACTACATTAAATGGAGCTACAACTACAAAACTATAAATCAACTTTAAGGTCTTATATCAGATTTTACTGTCAAAAGAAGTTCATTTTCAATTGTTTGCAGAAGTTCAAAGTGCATTGTATAACTTTTTGGTTGAGGGTCTGTCACCTGCTTGTTTCTATGGATATGTTATTACTCTGCCTGGAATGTTCCATAGTATGACATTAAACAGCTCTGCTTTACATTTATCAAATTACCTGTGGTTTTATAGCTCAAAAATGGCTAGAAAAACAGGCATTCAGGAACTTTTTGCCTCTCCACAGATCTGACCTGTAACTTGGTCTGGTTTGATCTTCATGATGATAGAAAAGTTTAATGCCATGAAACCTTCCAGCGTTCTTATTTTGACCCGAAGAGCTGTTTTTACAATATAGTTTTTAATATGTAATCACTCTTTAAATTGTATAACTCTTTGCTTAAACCACAACTCACTCAACAAAAGAAAAGTAGTAAAAGTAAAAGTAAGTAGGTAGTAATAGTAAGTAGAACTGCAAACACCTACTTAAGTAATGTACAAGTAACTAACTATAACCACAAGTGTCTGGATAACTACACAGATTC